TTTTAAAAAAAGGGTCGTTCTTGATATCAATCCACCAACTTATCAAAACGAAATATGTGGTTAAACTACATTCGTCCCCTACTGAAATCTGAAATTCATGTGTAATTCACTGGAATGCAGAACAATATCACCCGCTTAATATATTGTCATAATGTTGCCAATAATTAGCTTCTTTTTTTTCTAATTCAACACCTAATAGTTCAAAAAATTTAATTGAATACATTTTTGGGCTGTGAATCAACTAGAAATATTTATATTTTGCACAAGTTAAATATTTTGCAAAAGAATGGAAGAATTTTGTTTACCGAAAAAAGTATTGTATTCAGAGGCTGAAGGACGTAGAAATAGAAGTTGACCCCGTTGACGTTTTATAGATTCAGTGAAATGCGATTTGAATGAAAGGGGATTAGAATGGCGAGTAGAAACCATAGATATAGTGCCGTAATACATTTTAAATGTAAGACTTCTGCCACATTGTAGTCAATGCCATCTCTAAACCAACTCATTGAATCATTGAATATTCCGTACAACTTTTATCAATCGTGTGTGGCTTTACTAGAATATATTCAACTTTACGGCGAGACTAACAGTTTCTTCGTGAAGTATAACTGCGCAAACACACTGATATTTTGCAATGGTTACTTACAAGTTACTTACGTCAGCTTTGACCGTTTCAATATAATAACAAAACAAAATCTAAATAAAGGGACATCAAACACATTTTTTTCCACAGTAATGTTCTTTTTATTTTTCCAGCGAATTCTATTTCAAGATTTCTTATGACTGTATGAGCAAAATCAGTAGAGAAGCAGGAAAGCCTAGGCGTTCAGTTGTACGTGTGTATGTTTCAGGTAGAACTGAACGCCTAGGCTTTCAATGCTATGAATGCACGAAAGAAGTGAGAATAGCAATGAAAGCCTAAGCATTCAGTATTTAAAATGTACATAAAAATTATGAAAGCCAACTCAAACATCAGTTCAGCGAAAAACGCAAAAAATCGCAATTGTACCACAAAATTCGTGTTTTTCGCTGAACTGACAAGTGATAACGACTTGGAATCTTCAGCAAATTTATAGTTCTCGAGGCCTTTCGCAACTTTGCTTCAGACAGTTCCCACTCATCTCCTATGAGTTTCGCAAAAAACGCGAAAGATGATAAAAAAAACATGCCATAGGCCGATGTTTCTGATTTGCGCCCAATTGATAAGGGATAAGAGGTAATTGTCTTAAGCAACGTTATAGAGGATCTTGAGTACTACAACTTTTTTGAAGACAACTAGCTGTTATCTCTTATCAGTTACGCGGAAACCGTGAAAAACCGGGATGACCTGCCAAAAATGAACATACATTCTTTCAACCATTGTTAGTTGCAGTAAAATATACTTCTCTTTATTGCTACGACGTTTGACAAACTTGTGTTCTTCTAGGTCTCACCAATTCATATCTACTATCGACCCACTTTGTTTTCAAGGCATTCAAATGCACGCAAGCATCAATTACTTGACCATAGTTCGCTATTATTTATTGATATTATGAATAGCATTATTGAGCATTATTGAGAATTCCGAAGGATTATTTGGGATCATTTTTTAGGACAAATGGAAAAAGGCATCCTTTTGTTCAACATCGGCGTTTCGATCGCCGCCTGACGCGAATGAATTGGAAAATTCTTTTACGCCAACGTCGTAGCGTCCGTACAAGCATTTCGGACTCTGAAATCGTGAGCCAAAATTAAAATTACTCACATATTCCTTCCTACCGTTCCCTTATCAATGCTTTGAAATTCCATGTAAAAATAAACCATGTGCATATGGAAGTGGTATCAAACGAGTAGTATCAACTACAAAAGAAAAACAACGGAGAAAAGAAACAAAAACTATGTTATCTAATCTACGTTTCATATTCATACGAACATGATACACATAACATCGGTTCATGTGTTTATTTTCATTTCACAAATATTTAGTGGTCATAAGTATTGTTAAATGGTCACCAAAATCATTACAAAAAAAATTGAATTGTTATTGATTTTTGATTATTATTATCCTATATTGATTTGATGTGGATATGCTAAGAGTAAAGACATGTTTCGAAAAATGCGTCCGTGTCTTCCAAAACAGATTCCGTTTATATGCATGGGTCATTGTTCATATTGGCATAGCTGCATACATCTTTAACGATATTCTTCTGTGGCAGTGCAACACGAAATAGTCGTCCGCCTGGCATGCACACGCAGATTTTGTATTGCTTCTCTTCCATCTTTAGACCGCTGCGCTCCTGAATAATTGGAATTCGTTTGATATCCAATTGAATGCCCTGTTCGCTGTTCAAATATATGGTGCCGTTGTGTGCGGTAAGGAAGACATTTTCTGCATCCAAAATCAACTCTTCACCATTTATCTTAACACCTTCACTGCCACGAATCGAAATTTTATTTGTGACTTTCTTGTGATGCGTTGTATTCAAGACCAACTCTTCGTTTATTGCCGATTTAATAGCGCTTGCACTTATACCTTTCGCAATGAGATTATTTGCGCCTGATGGAAGATTGTATGTTGGTTTGTGCGTTGAGAAAATCGCCTCATTTGTTGTTGGACTCCTTAACTCAAACTCATTTATTCCACCGAAATGCGTGCCATTCTTGCTCATCAGTATTTTGTTGTGCAGATGTCCATTGGTTGGCTTTATCATATTGATGAAGACATCCGAACGTTCACCTTTTTGAGGAAAGCAAAGAAAATACATAAAAAATATAGCAAAAGTGCCTATAAATTGTGCGATGAAAGTTCAAAGCCTAAATTCGAAATCCAAATCGACATTTTCATGTGTGAAACTGAATTTTGATTGGTAATAAGAAAAAAGTTCCGGAAAAAGAACTTCTATCGAGTAAAACCTCACCGGTGATATCAACGGGAACGTTGTAGAACCCCTCAATTTTGCCATCCTTCTTGTAAACTTTGTCCAAATCAATCGATTGAAAAAATTTGATTGCACCACTTTCGGGGACCAACTATTGAAAATAATACGCAAAGATTTTTTTAGCTTTGATTCGCAGTATAGTTCTCAGACATAATCAAGCATCAACAATGAACCAATTTTTAATTTGCAAATGAAAAATTACCTCCAAATATTCCATGCCTTTGCCCAATTTCAGTACACCGAAAATGGTTAGGGTGAGCAATAAATTGCCAATGGTCAACACACTGATGAGCCACACAATGATCCAAAATGCCAATGTATTTCGATTGGACATCTTCAGTGTATCATCCGAGTCTGATGCATTTGATTTCATTGCACTCTTTGATTTCATATTAATTTTTCACACCGAATTTTTGTCGCAAAAATAAGGAAGACGATTGGCAGTTACATTTGAATGGGATGATAACTGTTCTCCGAATCGATAGAGTTTACGCGTAAATAAATGACGAGTGTTTTGATTGTGCGATGGAATTTTGGTATCTCTGTTGAAAAAAAAAAATCAATAATACCACCTATAATCCTACAATAGTAGGAATGTGACAATTTTCCAAGTGTCAAGAAAATTCGGAAAATTCTGCATACCGACACCTCGTACTTAACACACGCACATATGCATTCGCATGGATATATGTGAATGGAGAATTTTCCGTTAGGAATGATTTTTCACCTAAAGTACCGTATGCAGGGGTCGGTTAAAGGAACATACACGAAAAATATGTGGTCAACGAATCAATTCAATGGAAAACGCTTAGAAATAAGCGGTTATCATATTAAGAGTTGGTCAAAACATTACTAAAAAAAATAAATTCCATTTAATCAGTTAAAACGAAGTTTTTATCTACAATCAAAAGCCATTCACTTATTTCTCCTCGTTATGAATATAACAGAATTACTTTATTTGTCTTCGAAAAAAAATGAAATGACATGACAATAAAAAAAACCACACATGTAAATGAAATCTGAATGAAGTGAATTGCATGAATTTAAAGAAAAAGAAAAGAAAACGCGAATATAAGAAATAACGTCAGAAAATTAAGCAACGAGTGTAACGTGAGTGCGAGCCTGGTTGACTTGCCACACGTTCAACTGTTCGTAATCGTCGATGCATTTGTCCACTTCGTCTGGTTTGAATCCTTTCGTTGTGCAACGGTCCATAATTTCGGAGATTTTTATTGAGGCGCCCGATTGTTTGATGGCTTCCTTGATCAAATTGTAGATTTTGTCGGCTGATGAATGAATGCTGCACGAATGTAACGAGAAGAGAAAAATGTTAGAATTTTGTTGAAAATTTATGTTTTGTTTATGATTCCGTAGGAAAAATACGTACTTTGTTGGTCGGTCGCCAGTTTGTGTCAAAGAAGCCTTTGACATTTCCAATAAACGCAGAGCTTCGACCACATCATCTTTGTCGACAATATCAGATAAACGCAAACGAGCCAGTGCCGTCGACAAACGAACGATACCCAACAAATTACGCGCCGATGTGAATGTGGTGTCTTTGTTGTTGCGAGCTTCGCGGCGCAGATCAACGTAGGCGCCAACAATGTAATCCGATAAATCGGCCGAAATAGTTGGTTCCTTGCGTTTGCACAGTGCAATATAACGGCGCATCAAACTCATGTCGAGTGGCTTGGAAATGGTTGGTGGCTGTTTTAAATGGGTGTGTACGTAGGCAATGTGTTTGGCCAAACGTAAATCATTGTCACGCTCGGCTTTGTCCTGAATCAACCACAACAAATCGAAACGGGACAGCAAAGCGGCTGGCAGTTGAATGTTTTGTTCAATTGAACGTTTCGCGTTGTACTTTCCGTATGCCGGATTGGCAGCGGCCAAAATGGATACACGAGCATTCAACGTTGTCATAATACCCGCCTGGAATTGGACCAAATTTTTATTATTTTAATTGCGGGTTTGAAGCACAACATTTAAGGTTTCAAATTTGAAAAATCCTAAAAGATTTGTTATAACTTATGATGGAAATATGGAAGAATCAAACGAATGAGCTTCATGGGTTTCAGCCTAGCTTTGTTACTATTCAAGCATGGTAAATATACCTCGAAAAAATCCACTCACCTTAGCGATTGATATAGTTTGTTGTTCCATAACTTCGTGAATAGCGGTACGATCACCTTCGGCCATCTTATCGAATTCGTCAATGCAGCAAACACCCTGATCGGCCAAAACGAGTGCACCACCTTCCAAAACCATTTCGTTGGTCAATGGATCTTTCATGACGGCAGCAGTCAAACCAACACCCGATGAACCACGGCCCGTTGTATATTGGCTTCGAACAGCCAACCGATTGATGTAGCCCAACAATTGTGACTTGGCCACACCAGGATCGCCCATCAAACAAATGTTGATGTTACCACGGATTTTCATACCATCGGGACGTTTGTCGACACCACCAACCAATAGCAAAAGCAACGCCTTTTTCACATCCAAATGTCCGAAAATTTCGGGTGCAATGCTGCTGGCCAAACGTGCATAGAAATCATCCTGAGCCAATTCATTCAATTCTTCAGTGGTGAGCTCAGCATTTTGATCGGCATCATCGGATTGGTTCAGGCATGAAATTTTCTGTTGAAACGAACATTATTTTGTGATTAAAAGTCAGTCTTTTTTTTTAATGTTGGAATGAATCACTTCATCATAAATAACTTGAATCAATCGATGTAATCTTAAGCAATCGTAAAATAGGACAAAAAAAAATGAAATAAAACCAAAACAATATTCTTACATGAGCTTCAATGAATGTTTCACTGAGCAATCCGGAGACCATTTGTTTGAAACCGGTGCGCATCAATGGCAGGAATATGCCAGTTACGATGACATGATCGCCTGGTTGTGCATGACGAGTGACCTCACCACGGCACATAATAGTCACCGAACGTGGAATGTGACCGATTGGCACTTGATCGCTGTGCTCTTGAATTTTAATCTCTTGGAACTTGACGAATTTCGAGCCACGCGTCTGCAAATACAATCGACCGCCCGATTTGTTGACCCGGCAATCTTCTGATGGACAATCAGCGACCGGCATGAATGACAACGAATTAACTGGTTGATACGTTTCAGCACCACATCGATCGCATGTATAAGTGGCAACCACCATCATTGGTTTGACTTCAGTGCAACGCGTCACAATACCACGCACCGACACCAATTTACCAATACTATCGGCCTTGACTTCACGAATCGATAACGGCTTATCTAAACTTGGTGCTTTGAATGTCACTTCACTGCGGATAAGAAATAAGCGAAAAATATTTGGAATTATCATCAATTCCACCGTTAGAATGCTTAAGTGGCATAATTCAACTTACAATCGTTTCATGAGCTCTGGTGGGAAACGGTTTTTCGGGTCTCTAACGTCGTTGTTGGTTCTCAAACGTGATTCCATCAACATTCGATGCTCAATGTACACATCCAACGAATCCTTGGCAACGACATTTCGTTCCTTGTACTGTGGCAACAATTCCAAAATAACTTCGGAAAATAGATTCGAATAGCGTCGCGTATTTTGCATGATAGCCTCAACGAGCGACTCGTTGAACTCGTGCAAATCATCGAGTTCAATGTTGATTTCAACCTGGTACACATTGAATAAGAGTTTTATTAAATGAAAAAAAATGGAATTGAATTGTTGAATTGACTTACTTGTTCGCGATGTGCAATGTTTACCAGTTGGCTGGCATACTTGAAGAACTTGGCGCCACTCTCGTTCGACTCACAGAATTCTGTCAGAAATGCCTTTATGGCCTCTGAAATATGCGAAAATATTCAATAATTTGAGCAAAAATTTAACGAAAAGCGAAAACAATCAAAGCATTTTGATGGAAAATACAAAAATTTGGTATTTAGCCAAAACACTTTACATACCTCTGTCTTGAGCATAATCACGGCGTGCCATTTTCACTTCTTTTTTTCTAGTCAGAAATATTTGTATTCAGTTTTTAAATAAGGTATCGTTGTAAATGGTTCCGGCAATGTTGTTTGTTTTAGTCAAAAATGCAATTTGTTTATTAAAGTTTTGTTCGTGGTTGAGTGTGTGATGAAGCCAGCTGCTGATCGCGTTTAGAATTTTGGTGAAACTAAAACATCATCAGTTGCTCGTTTTGGCGGTAAAATGTTTGTGCGTGAAGTTGTCGCTGTCAAACACTTCTACATAGCTACCGTGTATAGCCGTACTTTAAGCGTTACTTTAATGTTGTTTTCCATTCGATACAGCAATTCTAAGTATTTCACTTAAAATAGTACTTCTTGTAGCCGCTCATTTGAACAACATTTCAATTTCTGACAAATTTATGATGAAAAATTATAGATTTTCAAATAATTTTTTTTATAAAAAGCATTTGAAACATGAATTTTTCAATTATTCACAAGTCACTGACGAATTTGATCGAAATTGCGTTTCTTTGGATTTTTCTCAATGAAAAAAATTGGAACAAAATGTTTGAGTGACATCGAAAGATTTTTCCTTTTAAAAGTTCTAAATAGGTTAACTTTTTATGAAATTGGCAATAAAACCCACTATTTTTGGTTATAGTCAACACACTTTTACGTGCATTTCATCCGAAAGCAATGCCCAACAAATTGTGCTTATTGGTTATAATCATTCAAAAAATGACCCAATACAGTCACAAAAGTGACTATGTATGATTTCTCTCGTTTTTTGACTGAAACTTCATTCGATGCGCATTGAAGTGTCTCCTAAAAATTAACTTCATTTTAAAGTACATATTATAATTTAACCAAAATTGACAAAAAAAATTGCCTTAATCATTAAATAAAACTCACAATAAAAATTATCATTTGTGCTGCCTGCATCAGCAGCCGATATCGCATATATTCATAAATATAAAAATGAATGTTACAAATCTCTTGGTTATATAATTCGTATAAAAAACAAATAGTTTTGATAGCAGCATATCTTAGTTAAAATATATGTCAAAGAGCACATTTGTCTAAAATCTAAATTAATAATGTTATCGTTTCGAATATCTGAAAATGATTCGAATGTCTATGTATTGGTTGAGATTGGTGGTGATTTATTGGCGTTTGCCTCGTCTTCTTCAGACTGTTGCAGTAGCGATCGTCGATATTCCATGCGTGTACATTTGGGACATTTTTGATTTTTTCGCAGCCAACAGGCGCGATGAAAGACCGTTTTACACTTTTTACAATGAATAGCACCATCATCAAATGGAAATAACACTTCAACATTGCTGCAAATTTCACACAAATATCCCTTGCCCGAGCATAATTCACATTTTCGAATGTGTTGCTCGAATGTAGCGAATGTTTTATTCAAAAATTCAATAATCGTCCCGTTTTCCACGCCAATCAAATCGGCTATACTGTACATATTTGTGCATTGTACTAAATGACGTCGAGCGCCGATGGCATTTTCCAATATTTTTCCATTGGTTGCAATTCGACATTCGGTCAAATAACGTCGCATATCATTTAAATTAGTCCGTAATTTTTTCACTAAACTCAAATTTTGTACATAGATAAAGAGTTTGGAATTTTTCTCTTCCAAATCGATCACTGGCCGATCCATAGTCAATGTCATTTCCTGTAATGTAGCTGAAAAATACAAAATGCGAGCTTCGGTTAGTATGGAGCAAATAAGATGATTGATTCATTTTTTACCTCGACAAACTTTGTACGGTGTGAAATCCCAATTGTGCAGAATGCGTGCTGGAATCGCTGCCGTATCGTTCCAATGGCATGTTGGACAGTAATACAGTCCAGTGTAGTCACAAATGCGTGGTTCAACCCATCCACCCTCTGAATACACACCAAAAAAATTTTACTAATGAAATTGTCTTGCTCTACGATCTTGCGTAACATAAGGTGGGAAAAAAGTCGATTTAAACCAAAAAAAAAGAAGTAAAAAAGCGTAAACAATCAACCAATTAATACGAGTAGTGCGTATAGAAGTCTACAGAAAATGAAAGTAAATCAAAAAGTGTCGAAGTAGATAAAAATGATGGAGAAATCGTTTAAATTTATACGTAAAAAAACTGAGGTGCAGAACTAAATGTTGTGCATAGACATGTTTAGCGTATGAAACTACCTGTTTTACTACGTAATCCTAAACAGTAGAACCAACCAGGAAAATCTGGAATTATTATTGGGAAGTAACGGAAAATCAGAACATTGCGCATACATCACACAGATATTGAACATGTAAATTTTTCTGTCGAAGCTAACACTTTCTTTCTGTTTTTGTTGTAATAATGATTCCCTATCGAATTTCTAGCGCACACACAGTGAAAAGTGTTCGGAAAAAGAAGAAGAAAAAACTTACTAAAGCTTAAAGAAGTATTGCACTCGGCACATTTGTACGCTTGGAATGAGAGTCCAGTCTCGGGGCATATATCGTCTAATGGTTCTTTGCGTTCGGATGTGATCACATGAGCACACACCCTGACAATACTCTCAATACATTTGTAATGAACCCGAAAATTGCAATCGATGCATATGTACGATGCCTGAACGACACTCCAAATGATACCTGTGCAATGATCGCAGTGTGGTCGAACGGTGGTTTGACTGGGCTTTTGATTGTGATGATCGACAAAATGATGGCCGAGAATGATCTGAAAAGTAAATTACTTTCAATTAAGTCTCCAAGTGAGCTAATAGAAATCTTATGGAACATACTCTGTACGATGCCCATGTTTTTGAGTGATCAACATTAGCATCCTCCATTTCCCGTAGTCTAAATCGTAGCTCAACCAAATGTCTAACCAACCACTTTCGTTCCGTGGAGCATTCGTCCGTTTTAAGCACCAATTCTTTGCATTTTTCAATGGCAGTCGTCAATTCATCGATAGTAGCATCCTCTTCTAGCACCAATTGCCACTGTTCCTTAATCAAACTATTCGGAATGGCGTGTGATTTATCCGAACTATCGTCACCCGACACCGATGCCACCGTATCACTGTCAAACGAAGGACTCGTCAAATTCGGTGGCAAACAATTCGTTCCTTCGACTGGCGACGTTGCAGTGCTTATCAAATGGCTCAATGCATTTGGTAAACTTGCTAAATTTCCACGCAATGATTGCATACTTTCTAATCTATTCAACATTTGTTTTTCCTAGTGTACTTATTTCGTCTTTCAGCTGTACAAAATATACCTTATCTACTCATTAGCAAACACACACACACACACTGCACGTCAATTAATAGTAAAAACTGCAAGTTATCTTTTCATATTTTTTTTTTCTTCAATCTATTCGTTCTAGGGTGTTTGCAACATTCTTTTTTGTTTTTATTTTTGTCATTGGCAATAATATAGCTCGCAGAATGACAGCTGACATACGCACAAACAAAGAATTTCGGAGAGAGAATATTGTCGAAATGGGTGCGTTCAATGAAATTGCAAAGCAGTGGCATTTCCATAAACTTTCACCATTCAATTGGATTTAATTAGTTTATTTTTAATTTTCAAATTAATTAAAATTGGAAAATAGTCTTGCTGTGACGAAATAGACCATTTTCCCTGCGATAGAATCACTTTGGCGTAGTAAAGAATTAGACGAACGCAATCGTGCTCTTTTGCTTTATGATTCATCCGAGAGTTTGACAGAAAGATTTTGTCATCATTGTGTTGATTGCAATAATAATAAAAAAAAAAAGTTCCCAAAGAAAGAAAACCACTTCGAACAACATTTGCCTGTAAAAGTGAACAAAAAAGGGATCGTCAATTATGGTTGCTTACGATGGACAACTCTCAAAGTGCTTGGCTGGCGTGAGTATTTCATTTTTAATTCACGTGAATCCAATCGAGTGTAAAATGTAGACAATTTTAATTGCCCGACCATTAGTTTTGACTGATTTTGATCAGGAGTGTCAAACGTCTGTGCTTCCATACACTTTTTTTCATAACATAAAATGAATTTTTATCCCTTTTTCAGTATCAGCATCAAAATCAAACAAAAAAAGATGTGGTCGATGTCTTGGAACAATATCGTGGTTTAACGTTTAAACTGGAAAATTTTGGTATGTAATCGATATAGTGACGAAGTTAAAAGATACAACAATGACGTCGGAACTAATGGACTTTTTATCTTTTTATCAGTGTTCAACGATGGCACAACCAAAGAACTCCTCAATATTAGCGGGACTATTCCAGTCGTTTACAAAAGTAAGTCGGAATGAATGACATCAGGCATCTTGCGATGAATATTGTGAATTTTCGCGTTTTTTCTCTCTCCCTCTCTCTCTCTCTCTCTCTTACTCAACAGACAACACGTATCATATTCCAATCTGCATTTGGCTGATGGACACACATCCATACAATGCACCGCTGGCCTATGTGCAACCAACGTCTGATATGCAAATCAAGGTTTCAATGTTTGTCGATCACAATGGCAAAATTTATCTACCATATTTACACGAATGGAATCCGGTGAGTATTTAAACATATTGTTCACAACATTTGTTCACAAATTGAAATAAACTCCATGTTGAATAGGCGAATAGGAAAAGATTGAAAAATTGGTTCTTCACATTTTCTTACTTTGTTACAGTCGTCTTCGGATTTGCTGGGCCTCATCCAAGTGATGATCGTCACATTCGGCGATATGCCACCGGTTTATGCCAAGCCAAAAGAACAAGTCACACCATACCCACAACAACGTAAGTTACGAGCTTCGCCTTGCTTTCTCGTTTGAATTGTCGATATTGAATCTTATTGAATTTTTAATCGGAAATTTTGCGTCATTAGCATTTATGCCCACACCAGCTACAAGTGGACAAGGATATCCGCTACCGTATCCCGCATCTGCGGGCGCATTTCCACCGTATCCAACTAGCAATTTTGGCGGTTTTCCAGCTTATCCAGGCGCTAGTGGCACAGCTAATCCACCATCAACGGGCTATCCACCATACCCAATGCCGAATCCATCACACTCAGGCTATAATAGCTTCTATGGAGGTGTAAGTATACCATTTCATCGTTGTTTATCATTCTTTGAATCGTTAAAACTGACTCATGGCTTATGACTTATGGCCCATGGCTCATGGAATTGAAGAATAATTACCTAACAGAGAAAATTCGAACATGATCGATTTAATATGCGAAAATCAAAGTTTGACATCAATAGCTTGATCACAGCAACTAATGGAACGGTGTTGTTTATATTCATAGCAATCAAATTCATCACAAGATGGAACAATGACCATAACCGAAGAGCACATCAAGGCATCACTCATCAGTGCTGTGGAAGATAAATTACGTCGTCGAATACAAGAGCGTGTAAATCAGCATCAAGCCGAAATGGATACATTGAATCGTACCAAGCATGAATTGAACGAAGGCCGAGCTAAAATCAACGAAATCATTTCAAAATTAGAACGTGAAGAGGTTTGTTCTTATAAGAGCTAATTAATTGATTTTATTTCTGTGCACAAGAAAGATGAAGAAAAAAAAATGCACTGATTCGATAGCTAACCAAGACAAAAATAAACGGTATTTCCTTTTGCAGAACGAATTGAAACAGAACATTGCCATTCTAGAAGAAAAAGATAAGGCGTTGGAGAAATCGCTTGAAACATTGGAAAAGGTGGACACGATTGATGTCGATGAGGCAGTCACAACAACAGCTCCATTATATAGGCAGTGAGTAGATCAAAATAATTGAAATTCATTGCGAACTTCGATTCTTAAATATTTGCCCATCTTTAAATGAACAAAATGCACATTTTTCCTTTTCAGATTACTCAATGCCTATGCTGAAGAGGCAGCCATCGAGGATTCGATATACTATATCGGCGAAGCACTACGGAATGGTGTCTTAGATTTGGAAGTATTTCTAAAGCATGTTCGTCAACTGTCGCGTCGACAATTTATGTTGCGCGCATTGATGCAAAAATGCCGACAAAAAGCAGGCTTGGCTGGCTAATCTTTTCCTAATTTTTTGTCTTACTTTATACGAACGTCATTGATATGAACCACATGTTATGCCTATAAAATAATAAAAAAAAAGTATTAAATAAAAATTCGTACGAATACACAATCGCAAACTGTTTTAATTTGTCCAGGCATAACACTCAAGTGTTAACAGGTATTGCACTCAGCAGATAACAACAAATACAATCAGTGCCAAAGTATAATCGCACACACATACACACACACACACACACACACTCACATCAACAACACAATGACAACACAAACGATCAATGTCAAGTTGTTTTGGTGGCGCGATCCAGAACATTATCATTTCATTTAAATTGTATATTGCTCGTCATTCTCGGTGAACAAATTTTATTTTTCGGTTAGACCGCTTTGAACTCGACAAAATAAACGAGTTCGTTTGAAATGGCACAACAAAATGTCAGCCGATTGGCAAATAAAGTAGCTGTTATCACTGCTTCAACTGATGGGTACGTTCACTATTTTTTCTTTGAATATTTGTTTATCATCGGATTTCAAATGACAATTTTCTATTCTCTGAATGTGGATTTTGCTTTTTTGATATTATTGTTTCAGCATCGGTTTTGCGATCGCTCAAAGACTCGCTGCCGAAGGTGCCAAGGTGGTTGTTAGCAGTCGAAAACCACAGAATGTCGAGAAAGCTGTAAATCAATTGAAGAGTGATGGTCATTCTGATGTGCTTGGAGTCAAGTGTCATGTTTCAGACGCAAATGATCGCAAGAAATTATTCGATGAAACCATAAAGAAGTTTGGAAAGATTGATATTTTGGTGTCGAATGCTGCGGTTAATCCAACAGTTGGATCGGTGCTAGATTGTTCAGAAGAAGCCTGGGATAAAATATTCGATGTGAATGTCAAAGCATCATTCCTTTTAGCCAAAGAAGTGACACCGTTATTGCGCAAACAATCCAGTGGCAGCATCATATTCATGTCTTCGTACGCTGGACTCAATCCGTTCCCGGTAAATGGCAGATTGACCTTAGCAATCCGAGTCATTTTTTCAAAGACATTTACTAAATTTTTTGATTGATTTCAGTTGCTCGGTGCATATTCGGTGAGCAAAACCGCACTATTTGGATTGACCAAGGCATTGAGTCAAGATCTTGCTTCGGAGAATATTACTGTTAATTGCGTTGCGCCTGGAATTATCAAAACCAAATTTTCGTCGGCAATGTATGAAACTGAAGTTGCCAGAGAAACCGCTCTATCGATGATCCCGATGAGAAAGTAAGTGTTCAAACCCATTGAGTAACCTTTGGGTTCAATATTGAATGTCAATGTGGACAGAGACTTGATTGTGACATTTGAATTAGATTAAAAAAAAAAAACTTTATTGAAATCCACAGATTGGGTGAAGTCGAAGATATATCTGGTATTGTAGCTTTTTTGGCATCCAATGATGGTGCGTATATAACTGGTGAAACGATTGTGGCTTCAGGTGGAATGCCATCAAGACTTTAAATATGGAAACGGGACTCGAATATCTTGGATAATGAGAATTTTTGTTACACAAATAAAAAATGCTAATTGTTCGCTTTTAAAAACAACATAAATGATTCTTTTATTCATCCAACCATGGTGCGTTTTCTGCCGCGCGCTCGAACTTCTTCGAATTTGGCGATTATTTCGGTCAAATTGCCAGTGTTGGCTGCTTTATAAGCGTCTAAAATAGAGTTGAATAGATTCGGTATGCCGCTATGTGTGCTGAGCAGGGATCGTTCCAACACATACAAGTCGACACCTTTGACTTCACTGCTTTGACTCCAACTGGACAGTCCAAAATCGATCATAATAAGCTTATAGTCACGAAATGAGCTATCGTCTGTCTCCAATGGGTCGAGCAGTATATTGGATGTGGTGAGATCGCCGTGAATCAAATTGTTTGTATGCATTTTTCCAATGCACGTTCCAATTTCACCGGTCAATTTGTTGATTCGTTGTTCTCGTTCCGCTGAATCGCTAACTTTTGGCAGCACATTATTTATGTAATCCTTTGCCGTAATACTTTTCTCAAAGTATTCCATGTAAATTTTTCGTTCATTCAAATCCATATGAAGGATTTGTGGTGCATTCACTCCGGCCGCCTGACATCTTGCTGATGTTTTCGATTCAGCGCGCATTCGTTCCTTCGTGAGATGTGCATCCAAATCGGGATGTCGATAGTGTTTCACAAAACGCTCCTTTATCAAACACTGTTTGCCACCGAATTCACCGAGTGTCAACTTTGCCTCGGCACCTTGTTTAATCACAACCATTTTTCAGATTGTTTTCTTCTATAAACTCAAGTTCAATATTCACGTTCAGTTAAAAAAAATGACAAATACTCTCCGTTTAATTGAATAGGTTATGTTTATGTCTGAATACAACATTTTTCAACTTCAACAAATAACCAACTTCACACCATTTACACTGACAATTCGTCACTACGCCGGCCACGTAAATAGTTTGTCACATTAGAAACTCAAACAATTAAAAGAAATACAGACGCAAAATTCGCGCATCAAACCAGTTTCCATCGATAAAACGGTAAGTGCAAATGGTTTATCACTGAAAATGCAATTGAATCGTAAGAAAAATATGTGTTTAAAATTTTAGGAAAAAAAATGGAGTCATTGACACGATATGTATCACCCATCAACCCATCCGTATTCCCACATTTGGCAACCGTACTGTTGATCATCGGCACATTTTTCACATCATGGTTCTTCGTTTTCGTTGTATCACGGCCAAAAGGATTCAGTAAAAGCAGTCTCATCTTCAAGGAATTGCTCATCAGTTTGTTTGCCGCTATATTCCTTGGCTTTGGTTTACTGTTCCTGTTCCTATCCGTTGGCATTTACGTCTAATCCAGTCTAAGAACAACTCTACCAAATATTGATAACACTAATGATTTCAGTTCAATTTGATCTTAAAGATTTGTGTCCGATTTTGTTTCTTTCTATTCTTCTCTTCGTTTTAATTTCAAATGCAAATGGTTTAACATAGCAACAGAAAAAAAAGAGATACCATCATCACCAGCACAGATATATTTAGCCAACGCATCTGCATTTCTACTGATGTATGTATATGTGTAAGAATTCACACTAATAAATGAAAAAAAACAGAAAAAAAAAATCGATAAATGAAACTCGTGTTTTTTTTTTCAATTCTCATGAATCGCATCGTTTTTTATATCTCTTTATTTATTTATGTCTTCGTATTTGTGTTTTCTTTCAAATTGTGAACAAAGGTTTGTATGCAAAGATTGGATTCAGAAAATTTTTGTTTCGTTTTCAGTGGAATAATATGGGATTATTTTTTTTTGTTGTTGATGTAGTTTAAATTTTGAGGTTGTGCAAGCGTCGGTTCAAATCACTGAATTTCAAAATTTTACGAATAAAGAATTCACCATAGCGATGGGCCACCTTCGTATCAGCAATATGAATCATGTCCAGATCAATGTAAAAGTCCAATTCTGAACCGGATACAAATTTACCATCCAAACCGCTTGAACCCTCTGACCACACCAGATTCTTCATTTTATGCTTGAAGCACAACAAATGCGTCAACAAATTGTTGATATCGCGTTCAGCCGGCTCTTTGTTCATGAATGCCGCCAATTTTTCCAATGGCAACGTCGTGTACAGTTTCAAGTATGAACGAATGGTTGGCAATTCTTGTTGTTGCCGAACTTCGTCCATGAACACTTGTGTTTGATGTTCCATTGGCTGCTTGACGAAATCACCTTCGGTTGCATCGTTTGGTGGTGGGCATGGCGAAATGAATTTCGGGCTACCGAAAATGAAGAAATTACGGAACGTATCCAAGTCACCGCATTGCATTTGATACATGCTTTCGTGGTAGTTTTTGTCACTGGAAAGGGAAAGAAGAGAAGAAAAGTTGAAAAATTGATCATCAGAAATTGAAAAATGGGAGAAAAAGGAAGAAAAATGAGAAGTAGAACCATGGTGGACGAAATTTCTTCAGAAAAATGGGAGCGCAAATGGAATTTTGACAAATATTAACCAAACTAAAAAAAAATCTATTTTCTTAGAAGAAATTGTCTGTTTAAAACCCATAGAAGTAGATACAAAATTGTTAAGAAAAAGAAAAAAAAGAAGAAGAAAATGATTTAGCCCATACCGTAATGCCTGTTGAATGGATTCATCGATGCATTGTGGATGAAGAACTAAGCAGATGGTAAGCAATTGGTACATTTGCTCGGTTTGTTTGTTGATCTGATCATTTTGATATGATCGGGTGCTGTACAATTGCTTGGTACGTTGAATGAACAGCAAAATTGAGCTGAATGTGCGAATGGCATCGGTGTAGCGACGCATCATCATATATGCAAAGCCAACATAGTACGATGTTGAAATTTGACATGCTGGAATATGTGTGTATTGATTCTTCTTGTGAATTTCAATTGGTTCCAACACCTTAATGGCCTGATAATAATCGCCGAGCAATGAATGCAAACGCAACATTTCCACCAAACTGAAGTAGCCTAACATCTTGTACAATGAATGTCGGCCAAATTCACCGGCAACCGATTCTGGATCACCGCCCGATGCTGACACCTCCAATTGCAATTTAATATTGGATTTATCGACCAGCGAATGCAACACATTCAAAATGCACAAAATGGTCCAGTGATTGGTGTGCTTCAACATGTCGAGCTCCTCTTCGGATTTATCATTGAGACGTGCACGATATTGCGCATAGTTTTGGAATTGATACACAAACTCATCGAGCAATTCCCACAACCAAATGTCTGGCAATTCCAATTGCACGGGTTGCGGTGCCGACAAAATCAAATTGAAGAAGCTACAATAGTTGAAGAACGAATCGGCACGCTCATGAATGGTTGGACCCTCTGGGATGCGAGCGTAAATATGACGGAAGTACAATTCCTTGTACAGCGTCAAAAATACTTCGTCGTTGCCAACAATATCGGCAATTTGATTTTCCGATGGCCATGCACGCTTATCGTAATACTGCTCGCTCAACTTTGGGAACGTGTTTTCATACAAATTCTGAATCTCGTAAACAACACCCTCGTTGATCACACTGCGAAAGTATTCGATAAAGTTTTTCACAATATCGGGAACTTTTGGCATATTCATGCTGCGTTCATATTCCAAATCAAGGTTTGGATCGCCGGTATGGCTATCCTCATAGTCCAAATATTCACGGTCATACTGCAATTTCAATGGAAAGAGAGAAGAAAAAATTGTTACCAATAAATTTCCGAGCTATAATTTACAAGGAGGAAACAAAATGGCGTGTTGATTTTAGGTTAGGTTGTATTCAAGTCTCTGAACTACTTTTTTCCACAATATTTTCTTTGCACTTGCTCTTCATTAAACAATATCAACTTTTCCGATTTCAATTGAATTCACTTACAGGATCATAATCGTCTTGGTCAAGCATTTTGCTGGATTTTTTTTGTTCACTGGAACTCTTGAAATACTTCGATGAACGTATGCTAGTTTTGCCACACCGCTACGGTCTCCTAAAAATACACTTATGAAAAGGCAATATGAATGACAGCTCCGAATACACGATTCGCTTTCGTGTGTAAATGTATTGGTGTCAGCGTGTTTAAATGCTTTCACTTCACGTCACCCGCTAACTTTTTTACCCAACAAACCGATGCAACGAAACGAAATGAATTTTCAAAATAATTTTCAAAAATATCGAATACGGATGATTTACATATGATTTTCCAAATTTTTAATAATTTTTCTTCCAAAACCACTGTGGCTGAAAGGAAAAAAAAACTCTGCATAGGTTGGTGGTGAATTGAATGCGTTGGTGAAATTATTCACCACTGTTATTGTGACATGTGATAAAGGTTGTCATGATGACACTTCAGTTTGCTTTCAGCTGAGAAAATAGTCAAAACGACAGAAATCAGGGAACAAGAGAAAAAAAAAAATATGAAAATTTCGACAGCTTCATAAAAGTCAGGTAAATGTTCAATTTATTTGTGAAAATTAAATGAAACTCGCTCACACGGTTATTGTGTGCTTACAGAAAATTGTATAAAGAAAAGACGTCAACAAGTAGAGCGATAAAGATGAGAAGGAATGACATGACATCGAAACGAAAAACGGCAACCAATTCATCGAATATGAACTTTCGCCCCGCCGGATACGATCCACAGCGTCAAGACACAAAAGGCACACGACCAACGGCGAATCCAACCACCGTTCGTGAAGTATTGCTCCAGATGCTGATATTTTTGTGCAAAAAGGTCATTTTCTTCGATGTAAACCTAAAAGTGGCATTATATTTGGGTAGTTTATTTTTAGTATCGTTGATCGGTGATTTTGCACCGTATCCAAAGACATATTTTGCACGATCTGATAACATTTTCAATGTGTATTTTGTGAAATGGGGCTGGGCATGGACATTAGTATTAAGTGTACCGTATTTGGTGCTAACATCATGCATTTTATGCGTTGGAAATCGTGAGAAACTAATCAGAGAACATTTGCCACGCATCTTAATTGCAACATTTTTCTGGTTCTTCTGGACGAAAGTGTTCAATTTGGTCGAGACAATGTATGGACGATGCAATGTGAAGAATTTCGATTCGAAAATTGCCTGCTTAAAGGGTGGCCACTTCTGGAATGGTTTCGACATCTCTGGCCATGCATTTATACTCATTTACTCCAGTTTAGTGTTAATCGAAGAGGCAAAACCGATCATCGGCTGGGAGAATATCAAAGAGCATTTGCGAAACGAAGAGCATAATCGACTTACCCGCGAAGAATCATCCGTTAATCCGTTGCGAAATCTCGACGATGATGAACTACAGAATGTTAAATCATTGTACGAAAAATATACGCCAGTTATTCGAGTTCTGTTTATTTCGATGACTGCGTTGCAGCTACTTTGGGACGTCATGTTGGTGTGCACAATGCTTTACTATCACAAAATGATCGAAAAGGTGCTCAGTGGCATTTTTGCCATTCTCACGTGGTTCTTCACATATCGTGCTTGGTATCCAGCCAATTCATTGTTACCAAATTGTGCAGGCCACGGCAAGTTCATATATCAAAAGACAAAAATACAACCGGCCGTACCGTTCCGTAAACAGTCACTAAACTACAACAACGCTGGATCGTCGACGGGCCAATCAAACAATACGCCCAAATTCATGGGGATGCCAATTTATCCACAAAAAACCACAACCGCAACCGAATGAACCCTCAATGCAGATACTTTGTTAAATAGATTAGAATAGCATAAATTTGTTTTCATCGAAAGACTCCTCGACTACTTGTTCACTCTCTCTATTTGCTTAATTTAAACTTAAATAGGTTTCAAATAGACTTAAATTAAACAAAAAACAAACCAATTGGGAACAATGATATATGACCATTTACAAAACGAGGTGATTTGATATTCGTCTTTTGCGCATTTTTATGATGCCATTTTTATGATATCATTTTTTCTTGGAATTTAAGTAAATCAATCAGTCAATATTTGCTATTTCAATAAACAAAACTTTTTTTTTTCTACTATTAACATTTATTTAGCGTTTGTACTACGTTGTAATTTTTGCCTAGTGGGAATGTTTGTTGAGTGTCCTTTTTGGTCAATTGTTAAATAAACAAAAAAACAGATATTTTTGTAAATAAATGCTACCCATCGAATGGAAATAAAGCGAAAGATTCGAAAATGTGGTTTTATTATATTTGAGTAGGAATCGGATTGATTTTACCCTCTTATTTTTCATCACAAGGTTATGACTATTGTAAAATGTTCATTTTCTATAATATAAATCTTCAAGTCGCGTTTTATTTGAATGGTTTATTATTTGTGTAATTGATCGGTCACTTTGCATTGTTTCCAAAGACATCATTTCTCGCGCATTTTGATTGGTCAAGCAACATGTTCAATGTGGATTTCGTGAAAAGTGGAAATGGATATAATTTTCAACTGATCCTTATTTGGTGCTCTCCTCGTGGCTACATCCATTTTATGCTGTGGAAATGTCGAAAAATTAATCAAATACCATTTGCTACGCAATAATTGCCACAATTTGTTGGCATGTATGGTCGAATGTTCTTATTTTGAGAGAAAATTTGTGTGGATAATGTGATGCGATGAATTTTGATAAAAAAAATTGCATGTGTTATGATTTTTTCACGGAAGATTCTTCTTCTTTGTGGTCTCTTTTAGTTTTGATCTAGTTTTGATACGCATTTACTTACCAGGTAAGTTATGGTTAGGTAAATCTTACTCGAACAAGCAAAAGCGATCATAAGCTGAGAGAATATCAAATAGCATTTCCAAAATAAAGAGCATAATGGACTTACCCGCGGAGAACCATCCGTAAATCTATTGCGAAATCTGATGATGTTGTCCAAAAGTCAAGTCATTGCACGAAAAAAAATACGCCCATTATTCGAGTTCTGTTCATATCAATGACCACCTTACCATTGCTTTGGGATGTGATGTTGATCTTCAAAATATTCTACTACCACCAAATGATCCAAAATGTTGGGTTTGCATTATTTGTTATTCTTAAATGGTCTTTTCTTATATTGCATCTGGTTTGCAATACACTGCTGCCGAAACTGTACTAGAGCAAGGAAAATTCACCTACTGAATAAAACAAGATCCAACAAGCGGCTTTGTTTCGAAAACAGCATTCGAACACAACGAAAACTAAATGAATTCTCCACCATTACACGCTTCACTCTCGAAAATCAGCCATATCTGTTATTAATATACCTTGTAGTAAACGCGTTCATAGTGTTTCACTGTAGTAGCGGTGTATCCTATTAAATTTTCTTGTAGTAATACCACAGTGGAATTTAATAGGATACTTTGCTACTACAGTGAAACACTATGAACGCGTTTACTGCAAGGTATATTAATAACGGATATGGCTGATTTTTGGGAGTGTTCATTATTAGAAATCATATATTATTTGATGTAAACAAATCTACTTAATCTAAATATATAATCAAAACTCGGGTCATTTTTTGTCAATTAACAGAACTTTGTTTACTATCAACATTTATTTAGCGTTTACTAGGTGTAATTTTGTCTAATTGAATTGTTTATTGAGTGCGCCTTTTGGTCAATTAATTATATACAGATATCACTCATCGAAGGGGAAATGAAGCGAATGATTCGATAATAAATCCATTAATTCATAAGAAATCGGGTGTGTGCATTTTTATCAAATGTGTATGTGGTAGCTAAGCATTGTAAATTAGAATGCCAATCACTACAGTTGGTATGCTCACCGCAAATACTTTGTAACTGTACGGTAATTTGACCCACGCCGCTTTCATTGTGGCTGTTGTTGAGGGATGCGATTTTTGAAACGCTTTTCTTTGCGCAATTCGGGTGAAATACTTGGCAAGGTATGGTTTTTTATTGTTGCCCCAGAAATGCTTTTCAAGACCCAGCTGCTGTAGTCGATGCAATAAAACACCTAGACTCATATCGGCCAATGTGAATTCGTTACAGCATAGCCAACTATCTTCTATTTACAATGGAAATTAGAATTTGAATTTAACGAATTGACCTATTGTCCATTGATTGCGCAATTTTTGATCCACAAATCTATCGATAATTCAGACAGTTTCAAAAATGAAAGAAACATTCAGAAACAATTTTAGAGATTTTTACTTTTTTTTCTCTTGTTTTTTCATAATTTGAATTAACGATGAATTACGGGAGGAAATAAAATCGAAGCTTAACGAAAGCAAGGTAGAAAAAAGAATCAACGTTAACTTACTGTCTTGATGTTGTAACTGAGCCTCAATTTCGATAAGCAAAATGCTGACGGAATCGATTAATTTTTGGAATTCATCTGGATTTTTGATCACATCAAATTTTTCCCGTTGATTTTTCACTTTCATCAAAAGTGTATATTCATGCAATGGACTTGATTTAGCTTTGTCTTCTAGTCTATTCAGCATCTCTTCTTCCGATTCTAAAGATGATGAGAAATAATAATGGTTTTTTTTCCATTTGTTTTGCAACATGTTCCAAAAATGTTCCGCTCACCTAAAAAGCTTCGACGTAATGGACCAATGAAGGGTAATTTCGGTTTTGACACAATATCTGGATGAATAAATGTGCCCAAGCTAATGATCCCGATTGGAATTTGGCAGATTTTCCGATTTAAAAAGATAACTTTGTTTAATAAATTCCGATCTTCCTTCGGAAGCAGTGAAGGTCCATTAAAATTGGCTTCTAAATAGTTAATAATTTGGTTTGATGATGGTACCACAAGTGTATCATCCTGTAGAACAGGTACGTCCATTTTTGGATTCATTTGCATAAACCAACTGGAACATTGTTCGCCGTTTGCAACGTCTACTTCGTATAAAGTGCATGGAATGTTTTTCTCATGTAAAACAAACAGCACCTATGGTTGGAAAAAAATCACAAAAAAATGCTCCACAATTACACGAACGAAAGAAGAAAAAGACACAAAATGTTATATTCTATTTATTTCATTTTGATCGAATTAATGGGAGCACACAACGAGTTGCTAATTGATATGGGTAGCGTATATCGTAATCTGATCGTAATGCATGCAAAATAAGCGCTGATGCTTATCAGATATTCACACACAGGTAATAAATAAGCATGTTAAGATAAACGAAAGTTAAATTCAAAAATAAACAATATTCCAAGCGCGAAGATATGCATCAAACGGAAGATAAACTGACAAATGATGAACAATTTTCGCCGAACAAACCTTGAATTAACAAACTCAAGCGTAACATCAGTGCGATTAGCCGACGACAACGACGACGACGACGACGATGATGATGAATATATTTTTTTGTTGTTGACTTATTACTTAATAATGTTTTCAATATGTGATATCCAATGGTCACGCATATACTCGTACACAGGCAGACAGACACAGCGCACACACACACACACACAAACAGTTGCCTCTCCATTGGACCGAATGGAATTTTCAGTATTTATTTCTTATTTAACAAAAAAAAACCACAACAAATCATATGATTGCTACAATCACATGATGTCGCAAAACAGTGAAATAATTCATCCCAAAAATAAGTAATCGATTGATCGATACAATTTTGAATCCCATTTCCCTTGCCGGTCTCACCAAATACTCACTTTTTGCGAATAAAAACTTAACGGATGATAGTAAAGAATTAATCCACCTCGATCATCTTGTTTTGATGAATTCCTACTGCTGATGAACTGACCCATTCTACTCCTGTTGTTTTGGAGAAATATTTTAAATTATTTTTTCTCTCGTCAAAATAAAATCACTTAATCATCACCTAACAATAACAATTAAATGCTAAAAACATTTGTATCACTGCAAACGAAGGAGAGAGAAAATTCAACGGCAAAAACCGAACTAGGAAATAGAATTGTTTGATTTGTTACGATTGCTAGAGTGGTTCACTGCAAACTAAACGTTGCGAGTACAATGATATTGCTTTGTAACGCACAACGGATAACGATCGCTCTGTGAATCACATGTTCTTGTTGTTCTATTCGACAGAAAGTGAAAATGTTGCACAAACATTAATTTCGACCCTGGCAGTGATTTGCGATCAAGCGGCTGATTTCACATCCATATGAGTCAACAATTTAAGAATGAAATTTGTGAAAGTTGCAATTTTTCTCTCTCTCCCATTCGTCGAACTTTATGAGTATATTGAATTATATACGTACATGATGAATAAATACCAATCACAATATGATGCCTTGAACGAAAATATCAACAATTTTTTTCTTCCAAGAGCTTTATCCGAATCGAACAGTTCGATTTTGAAAGAAAATTTGCCAAAATAAGCCAAAAGCTGATTTCCGCTGATCAAACGGTTTCTGAAAGCCAAAGGCTTACTAATTTCAAGCTTTCAAACACCGATTTGCTTTTGAATTCCGGCTTTTAATCTGTAGTTATGACACAAGTAGACCAATTCCATATATTTTCAAACGATTTGTCACATTCTAAACTAGTTGTTGGCTCAAAATGAAACATTTAACGCCTCAAGTCGATGATTTATTTTAAAATATTTTTTTTTTTTTTAAGTTGCATTGATTGAAAACTATTTGAAAATTTTGAATTCATTAAAAATCAAACCGACTTATTCAATTAATTTCGATACTGAAGACAAAAATCAACGTCAAATCAAACCGAAATACTGTTCATGTGTTAATTTTAGAAAAATAAAACGAAATAAATAATCGAATGCGGAAATTGGAAATAATAGTTTTCGGTTTGTTCTACTAAAATTGGAGGCAATTCGAAATTCGTTCTACTGATAAAAGCATATAGGCGAAATAGAGAGAGAGGGTGCGTTTATTGTATGGACATTGAACGTATTCACTGGCACATCAGTGAGACTGACACTTCAAAATAGGTAAACATAATCAAAACGTGCTTAATTCATACGATTTGGGTGGTTGTAAATTTGAGTAGGATATTTGTGGTGAAAGCGAAGAAAAAAATGAGTAAAGCCTTGTTTGATGATGATTTATCGGAGGAGGAGATTGACTTCAAGACCAATAAAGACTATGCTAAAACCTACAATAAATATCGTCAGAAGGAGCTGTTGAAAAAGTGTAAGTTGCCCAATGTATAAACAGGTTATAAGCTGTAAACGTGTTGATAACACTCTTGTTTTTCCAGTGAAAGATAAGGAAGCCGGTGATGGTTCGGAGTCGAGTTCAGAGTCTGACAGTTCGGATGAAGATGAAACCGCTTACAATCCGAAATTCGATGAGGAATTCTTCAAAACATTGTCATCGTTGAAGCGAAAAGATCCAACCATTTATGATAAATCCACAAAATTCTTCGATGAAGAAATGATTGACCCCGACGCTGATGACGGTGAATCAAAGAAAAAGGAGAAGAAATTGACCATAAAACAATACGAACAGGATTTGTTGCTGAACACCGGCGGCACATTTGCCGATGATTCGGATGACGACAACGTGAAAAGCAACAAAAGACCGGCATCGCCGAGTTATAATGAAGAGCAAAATCTAATCAAGAAAGAAATTCTCGGCAAAGTTGGCAACATCAATGAATCGGAGGATGAAGATGACATTGGCGGTTTGTTTAGCAAACGTCAAAAGACGAAAAAGGAAGAGGTGAATTTTTGATTTTTTTTTTTTAATTAAAATTTGTACTCAAATCAAAACATTTCCATCATCGTAGGAAGAGGACGACAAAGAGCAAGCAAAATGGCTCAATGAACATGAGGAGCTTAAAGAGAAAAGCATTACGGAAATTTGGTCCAATAAAAAATTGTCAAAAGATGAAAAATTCCTACGCGATTATATTTTATCCAATGGTTATGCGGACAAAGATGACGATGAAATTCCCACATACGATGAAATTGTTGGTGACGATGATTTCGAAGAGAAGCAAACGGAATTTGAACACAAATACAATTTTCGATTCGAAGATCCCGATCAAGAGTTTATCAAACGATATCCAAGAACAATTGAGAATTCGGTGCGAAAGGTTGACACACGGCGAAAAGAAAAACGTGTGGAGCGACGAGAACGAAAGGAGATTGAAAAGAAGGAAAAATTCCAAGAGATTGAAATGTTCAAAGAGTTGAAGCGTAAAGAAATTGAAGAGAAAATTTCACAATTGAAAGCGGTCACCGGCACGGATGAGATTAATTTGGATGAAATGGATTTGGATGGTGATTTTGATCCGGATGAGTATGACAAGAAAATGCAGGCCATATTCAATAGCGAATACTATGAGGTCGATGAAGGTGACGAAAAGCCCGAAGCACCCTCAGACATTGAAGATTTACAAGTGGAAAATTATGATGAAATCGGAGACGATGAACAACCACGTGCTGGCGCTCACTGTGAAGATGACGATTTCAATATGGATTGCGATTATGATGAATCGCAACGAGATCAGAAGAAATCCTTTCAAGATGAAATGATTGAAAGTACCCAAAAACGCAAGCGTGGAAAACGGAAGTCAAAATTCATGGAAATGCTTGAGTCGGAGCGGCCGCCATTCAATCCGGACGATGAGAAAACGTTCAGTGAATATTTGGATGAGTATTATAAGCTTGACTGTGAGGACATTGTCGGCGATGTCAAGTGTCGATTCAAATACGTTGAAACTACACCATGCGATTATGGATTGAGTATTGAAGAGGTAATTTTACATTCGTTGATAAGATTTTTTCCGAAGATTTTGTATTTTTCGCTTCTTTGATGATTTTAAATGACCAAAATTTCATTGATTTAGATTCTGGGTGCGAAAAATAAAGAGTTGAATGCTTGGGCCAGTCTAAAGAAGGCAACACAGATCCGGCCGGAGCACGTGGAACGCAACGATCAAATGATTTTTCAAAGAAAGGCCAGAAACGAAGCGCTAAAACGCAAAATTTTAAGCAGTCTTTACGAACCGTGAGTTTTACCGATTCATTTGCGTTCTTTTTATTGATTTTTTATCAGAGCGTGTTTTGAGCTGACGTCAGCAGCACTAACTAACGTCAGCTGCTGAGCTCAGCTGCTGACGAGTATGCGTTGCGTTTTTTGAACGCATCTGCAATACAAAATTCATATTCCTTCCTGGATCCCAAGGCAAATATCATATTCCCTTCTTTCAAATTTGACTTGGGATCCAGAGAGGAATATGAATTTTGTATTGCAGATGCGTTCAAAAAACGCAACGCATACTCGTCAGCAGCTGAGCTCAGCAGCTGACGTTAGTTAGTGCTGCTGACGTCAGCTCAAAACACGCTCTGTTTTTTATACTTTGTGGCAGAGAGCACATGTAGAATTTCTTTACCTTTGACTATAGCACACATGACACTTGAACTCTATGCTTTAGTTCTTGAAATGTTCCACTCTTTTTTTTTAATTCAATGAAAGTTGCGTTCAATTTTGACTAAAATCAATCCTTATGATATTGTTATTATTCGTTCGTAGTTCTGATGACGAGGACGAAGCTGAGGAAAACCCAGTCGTATTAGTAAGTAACAAACCGCTGACGAAAATTGAGAACAGTGGCTCACAAAATCCAGACGGTCGAAATGCGGAAAAGAAAAAGAAAAAGAAGAAGAAAAAGAATAAAGGCAATGTTTCTACTGAGGCAGGCACATCTGGTGCCATCTCGCAGCAAGTCGAAGGAAAGATGGGCGAAAATAAGGAAGAATCAAAAGTGGAGCCATCGATTGAGGCACCAAAACAGCAGTCTTCTAATGAAATACCTCTCAACAGCGCTCCTAAAGAAGAGACGTCGTCTCCCAAACCAGAGCCTTCGGTAACGGTGTCAAAAACGAAGTCAAATAAACAATCCAAGCCCGAGACATCAAAACAACAGCCGAAAAAGGAACTGAAGGTGCAACCCAAACAGCAATTGAAGCAACAAACGAAACAGCAGCCACAATCAAAAGAGAAGTCAAAACCGGGCGCAGCTCAAAAGCAGCCAAATTCCGTCGGTAATAAAACACCAATCGAAAAGTTCAAGGCAAAGCATAAAGATCCGCTGAAGAAGGTGGCTCACAAGACCATCGACAAGAAGAACAACAAATCCAATCAGGCGAATAAGCAAAAGGGCTTGAGTGACGAGCGACTCAAGGCGTTCGGTATCAATCCGAAGAAGTATGTCAAACAACAGAAATACGCTGCACAAATAGCGCAAAAGAATGGTGGCAACAAAAACTCAGTACAAGCCAAACAAAAGGAAAAAGTCAATATCAAAATGAAGAATAAATTGGCAAGGGCGTTGCAAAAGAAATAAATATGTACTGGTGTACTCATAGACCACTATAAAAGTTCCGAATAAAAGAGAATAAAATAAAGAAATTATCTGTTTGAAAAAATTCAAAATCGTTTGGAGTTTTCAATAATGATTGTGTTTTTTTTTATTTGATTTGATGTTAAATCATTGCAACAATATTATTTAATCATCTTTTATATTCACATTGTTGTTGTTATGAGAGCACAAAAGGAAAGGTGTTCGTCGCACAAGTACATTATTTTAATGTAAATTATAAAATTTATAACTAGAAATCGAGGTGAGGGTGGAAAAACTGCTGTTTCTCTCGCTCTCTCTCTCTCAATTTAGTTACGACGGTTGTTGTAGTTTTGGCTGGTGGCTTGCGTAAGTTGAAGACCACTGATGTTGTTGAAGTCCAAAAGTTTCAACATTTCCTTGGTCTCTGGATCAACTTCGATGATATCATGTTCCAAAGCTGAAACGGCTGGTACATAGTTATCACGACGTTCACGTTCTTCTTCTTGCAATTTGATTGAAATACCGCGAACTTGTGAGTGACGAAGACGACCCATCAAATGCGTTACGTATCTACAGGTGCGAAAGAGAGGCAGAAAAAAAAAGTGAAAACAAAATCGATTAGTTTACGACGCCAATTCATATACGGTGCAATATCAACAAAGAAGAGAAGAAGAAAAAAACGTGGAGACATGCTTTAGTGTGCGGCGCGTTCAAATGTGCCATTAATGTTTTGTTCGGAATAAAATCGTTGTGGAATCTTATTCTGGATGCGTTAATGGGCTGAAAAAAAATACTCTGCCTGACTATGACTGTAACAATGGCTTGTGTAATAGCTAAAGCTACGAACTAGAATCAGGCGCTATTCCACACTGTAGGATCTCACATGCACTATGCCGACTTTGGTTATGTCAAGTCAATGTTTTGTTATTACCAATATTCTGACACCAACCAATTCCACTTTTTTCGGCTTAAATACAGTTTTTTCTCTTTCATTCTTCTTGATTGCACTTGTTCACTTGTTTGATTGCACTAAAGATTCGTTTTAAATGTGTAAAACTTACCCAGCAATTTTGTTACGAAGTGACTTCGTTGGAATAATAGCGACTTCTTCACAAATACGCTTATTTGTATGGAAATCCATGGTCAAGCGGGTGTAGTATTTTTCAATAATGACCTTAGCGGCCTTCTTGATAGTCTTCGTACGAACACGACCCTAGAATAAAACAACATTTTAGTTTAGAATTCGGTTTCGATTTGGTGGTGAGCCCAATCCATTCGCTTAACATCGACAAAACCAACAATCGCGGTGCAACATTATTAACAATGCCGAATACGACACCCGTAGTACAAAATCCGTGCACAAAAAACACAATAAATTCCCAGGAAAATATATGAAAATCACCGAAATTTCATTACAATACGCTGGCAAACAACACTTTTTCACATAATTCGTGAATTTTGTCGAGTTTTTCGAATGGATGATGGCAATTTTTCGCCGATAATTTTTCAATCGAATTTTGTTTAGCACCTACCATGTTGAGAAGTAAAGCGGAAAAGACCTGAGAAATGAAAGCTGTCAACGAAGTCTGCTCAACGCAACGCTGTACATGTGTGAACTGTCATGGTGGTACGGTGTGATTGTGACAGCCGTCATAAATTTAGTTACTTCACCACACACACACACACGCACACTATGAATGCAGATCGGGCTCGGTTTTTTTGCCACTTTTTTCGCATCGGTTTTGTTGGGAAATTTTTTTTTTGACGAATTTGAAATTTGGATTTAATCCAAGTAACATTTGATGATTTGGCAAACCAATTGAAAGGAAACATTTTTAAGCTGGAAAATTTGTTGCAAATTCTGGAACAAATGAAGTGGACGTGAGGGCGCCACCTAAAGGTTTTGAAATATATTAAAAGTTTAGTCTTTGAACTGGATATTGGAATTGATTGAAAAAAGCAATTGAAATAAATCGATAGTAGAAAAATTTGAAATGGAAAAAAATCGACCAAATTCTCAGCGAATTGTTTTTTTTTTTCAAATAAATTCAACAAATTAAAAGACATAACGTCTCGGAGAGACCATTCATCATCCACCAATAACCGTGAATACCGACGAAAACCGATTTAAACCGATCGCCGTACGTTTACTCCGATCGGCTGGATCGAAACGTCATTCACGGGCCACACAATAGTTTGTGCACTGTTTTTATAAACAAATTGGTAATGAATGGCTAAACGAAAGAAAAAACCACATTAATAATAAATGAATCAGAAGCGCAAAAAAAAAAAAAGCGGTCAAATGAGTCTGACGTGATTAATTTGTGTGAATGAAAAATTGATTGAAACGAAGTCGGGGTATTTTTCGATGGTGGTATCACGAATGGCGTTTACAATAGGTTACATTGAATCGTGACGGAAGAAACGAAACAACGAAATCATAGAAGAATACCTGTGACTTACTCGCGAGTAGGAATAATAGTTGAGTACGGGTGAGCGATCGAGACGGAGCACAATTAAAAAGAAACAAGTCTACAAAAGCAACAGTGCATGACTAATACCATAAAAGTGCCCACGGATTGTCTGTAGAAATTTAATTGACGGTGTGGCTGGATTTCAAGAGCAGGTAGATTTTCTGTTTAAAAAGTTTAGTAAAGGAAATTTCGGAATTATTGCTCGCAAATGTTGCCAGGTTTTTATCTTGGGTTGATATTTATTGTTGTTTTTAGTGAAAAAAAATTCTTGTTTCATTTCAAACCATTTAAGAGTGTGACTGCGTTAAAATTGTTGTTTACAAGTGAATGTTATGAATCATTTTTTCCTCTTCTGCTGGTGCTTCTGTGTCGAAAATCATTTGTTCGGAACCAAGAAAACTAACAGTACATAAAGATTGCATCGAAGAAAGCGAACACGTTTACAAAGCATACAATTTTTGTTATTGTTGTTTTTGTAGCAACGGAATGTTTGAACGCAACCAGTGCGATTTATTAAATCAATTCCCATACATGTATCTATTGATGACTCTCGGTTCGAATGTGTTCCCGTTAAACTAAGGCACTTAAACGATTCAAAAGACCAAAACTGTGTGCGCGCATTGTGCCACACGAAAAAAAAAAATAATGAAGAAACACAACGCAAACGATCGGAAAAACAGAAGATTGCGTGCCTGTTGACAACTAGGGAACAAAATATGTAAATGTAATTTCTTTGACACAATTTGATTCCTTGTATACGCGCTCCTCCTCAATATATAGATGAGGAAATAAAAATAGGGAAATGCTCAATTCCGAATGAATTATACGGGAAAACAAGCGTCCGTGAGCATGGAATGGAAACAAAAACAAATCGGCAAATATGCTGCGAATACATGATTATGCCATACAAACATTATATAAAAAAAATTGGATCTTCTTTTTTGCCTGTTTGTCATAAAACACCCGTGTTCATAATTGTGCAAAGTAGAATAGTCCAATAATATTTACTATGGAGTAATATGTGCTCCCGTTTAGAAATCAATGAAGTAGAGAAAAAAAAGCAAACGGTTTGTGACACTTGTAAAACTGCTAATCGTACATAAACCGATCGATGCATTCTACATTTAATGCTATATTTGGGAAATCGTTTGCGAATCGAATGCAGTTTGATATTAATAGAGATAGTGTGTCAACTACAGACTCTCATTCAATTACCCAAACATTCAGTAGCGATAATAATCTGTCTCATTTCGTTTCCGTTTACTTCCATTTATAACCATCAAACATTCACACTTTTGCCATTTTTTTTTTCTCCGATTCTTCGAGTTGTTTCATTCAACAACGGTTTCAATAAATTGAATCGAAACGTTCGTTTCAATATTTCCATTCAACAGCACACGGCATAGCGGCATTTACCCACACATACACACACACACTAACACAATGTATGCGTCTCTGTGTTCATTGGAAAAGCGCTATGCTTTATGGATAGAGGCATTTCCTCCAGTGTCGCTGCGCACATTTTCTCTCTCTCTCGCATCGTCACTAGCAAAATCCATTATGTAGTCAATGTAATCTGCTCTTATTTTAGTCGCCTGACATCCACCATATTGTGCTGTTGAACTTGTATATTCCCCGAAAAAAGAACACATTGATCGGAATTGAACCACAGAAAGAAAAGAAAAAAACCACACACATAATTCGGAATTGTAATTAAATTCAATCGGCTTTTTTTTTAGGTGGGTGACATATTCCGTTCACATTTCACATAATTACACACAATTAAATTGAATTAAATTTCGATAGAGTTGTGTGGAGCACAGTGTTACGAATTCGTCTCATATTCATCATATGACAGTCACATCTCCGATAACGCACATCCCAAACGCGAATGTCGAGAAACAAAAATTGGGAACAAGCGCACACTTATTCGAGATACGACTGTCATCAGGTGGAATTGAACTCATCAAATCGAACAAAGAAACTAACGATTTTGTTTTTTTTTTTTTCGTTTTTCGTTGCGAATTGAGATAAATGTGCAAAAATTCTAATTGCGTGTTAGGTCATTTGAAATAACATTATATCAAATGGATGAAAGCTTTTGAAAGCGCATAGTGTTTTACATTTTTCATTCCTCGAATCAAAAAAAAGAAACAGTCCATTCACCAGCATAACAATTGCGGCACACACATTTTCCCTTTCAAATATCGAAGTAATTGATATGTTGCTTTTTAAAAATAGACGGCAGAAGAAACAAAAAGAAAAACAAATATCGAACTTGGTTAAATGGAAAAAGGTTATAGCTTTGTCAACGACGAAGACGACGCGATATTACGATGGTATTGATGCGTGAATCAAATCATATGGGAAACTAACGAACTGGGTGTTTTTTAGTTCGATTGTGTCGTCGTGCCATACCTCTCTATGATTCACTGCGTGTAGGTCACAATCGAAAAGTAACACAAGTAATAGAGAGAAAAAAAGAAACAACAACTCGATTTCTGGTTCCACCTTACCTCATGAGTGGAATTGATTTTGTTCGAAACAGGGTTGTTTTTATTCCCATACACATACGACATATCATTTATGGATTCAGTCATAAAGTTTTCTTTGTACATAAACGACCGTAAATTTTTGTTTCTTTGCTTAGGACAAGTTTTCTTTTATCAAGGTGTAGAAAGACGTCTGATTTGACGAAAACGATTTTGAGTTGCACTAATAAAGATAGTCAGAACAGGAACAACATGTTTTCTCAGTGAAAAAAATGTTGTTTCGAGCCGAAAAAAAAAAACAGAACCAAAAGATAGTCCAAACATCGCAGTTGATTTTCATTCAGACGAACAATGGAAGATCGATAGAATGAGATGAATTGTCGGATTTCGTGACAAAAGATGAGATTGAATTGTTTCGCTACTGTAACAATGATAGAGATGAACAACCGAAACCAAAATCTGTAGAAAAAAAACAGTTTTGTTTCAATGTTCTTGTATTTCAACTGGTTCGCAAACACTTTTGCAGACAAAGAGCAAAGTTGTTGTGGACAGAAAGAGTTCATGCTAAAGCATGATTTAAAAAATCGGAATTTTATCAAAGAAAATTGCCGCGAGCCACCAATCAAGTGGAAAAGAGTCATAAGTTGAAAACAGTCTGCAACAAAAGAAAATCCATCGTTTCATTTAATTGTGTTGCGTTTTTTTTGCGTCTCAAAGAAAACAACAGCAGCAGCAGCAGCAGCAGCTATCATCAGTTGTTTGTAGTGTATTATTACTTTAGGGGCGATAATCTTATCAGCGATCTCGCTGGACTGTCGCGGCATTAATTATGCATAATTCATTTATGTGTAAATATCATGAACATATGCCTATGGTTAGGCATATGCCAATGGTTAGATCGTATAGCATTCTAGTCTGAGAAAATGAAGATTTATCGGGTGTTTTCCAAAATGTGTTTCATAAAACACTTTTCACTCTCTCACACCTCACGCCATTCATTTCGTTCTTCTTTTTTTTTCTACGTTGCAGAAATCAGAGAAAGAAAATAGTTCGCGATGGAATTTCGGTTTGATGTAACACCTTTATTCAAAACTCACATTGTTCGTGTTTCGAATAACTTGGTGCCTCAAGGATTCACTGGTGACAGGCGTAGCGTACTGTAAGTATGGATAGAATCCACAAACAGACAGACACCATACAGTTAGTATGTCTTTGTAGTTTTGCGACGAGAAAATAAACACTATTTTTTTCATTGGCATGGCCAATGATTCTTGATTTTCCTCTTCTTTTCTTTTCGTGAATAATTGCAGTGACGCAATCGCCAAGATCTCAGATATAATAAACGAATTGGGAGAGGCATCGGCACGTGCTCAGGGACTATCGAAAGCGGTAACTACCGCGCAAAAGCTCCGTAATTCCGATCATATCGTCTACTTGTTGTCTGAACCGACTGGAAGAAAGTAAGTAATTCCAAGTAAAATCGTATGCTAATCCATCTAACTGATTTGCTGTGCACACACACACACAAAATCAATGCGTTTCCGAATCGCGCGTGCGGTCTCTCTCTCTCTGTGTGTGTGTGCTTCAGTGTTTCGCAATTGGCATTTTGCGCGTTCGCCACGATGTGAATTTGATGATTTTCTGTGTGTATCATGTAATCAAATCAAGCAAATGTACATACAACGGACAAAACCGCCTGATGGTGTATAGTCTTCGCAGTTAATCGCTTCTAACAATGGTTCGAAAGCAATTATATACCACACCAATATCGCGTGGTGCAAAGCGTGTGCTATTTTCCCACTTACTGTGTGTACGAACAGTGAAAGTTGGACTCTTGTTGGAGCTCCTTTTTTTCTCTGTTTCGCTCCTTTTTCCCTTTGGTTATTATGCACCAGAATGAAAAATACTATAAGGAAAACCATGCGACACACAACAATTTCATTTCATTAGCGCCCCGCACTCTTTATCGTTCGTTCGCTTCTTTATATTTGTTAATTTGTCGAAAAACTTGCTCAAGATTTTCACGATATGAAATTATGGAAATAAGAATAGACCACCACTATGGCAAATCGACGATGAATAACAAATGGTGGAAAAAAACAACAACTCTATATCGAGAAGCATTCTGAAAAGAAGCTTTTTGATTATGCCGATAATTGTCGTTCATTTCACGCTTGTAATTTATTCATTTCACAACAGAATGGAAATATCATACAAGTCACGTACTACACATATTTTCTTGTTTTTTTTTTAAAGCTTTTTTGTCGATTGAAAAAATTATAGAAAACTTTTACATGAAAAACCGTCAAATCATTGCATTGTTTTAGCAATATTTGCGATAAAAATCAGCACAATTCTTTTCTTTTCAATTTTCTCTTTCTTCTTTGTAACAATAACACATTTTCTTCTCTTTTCGTTCATTCGAATTGCAGTGGTTGCGTGACAGGACTTTTGAAAGTCGGTACCAAAACTTTGTACGTGTTTGACGAGAATGGCGAAACAAAACCCGTGCCCGCCATGTGTGTACTCGACTTTTATGTGCATGAATCACGGCAACGTGCCGGTCTCGGACGAGAGATGTTTGATGTGATGCTCGAACGAGAGGGTGTTGAGCCTCAAAAATTGGCCATCGATCGACCATCCGATAAACTAATCGCTTTTCTACGCAAACATTACGGTAAGAATGAACGGAGTTTCAGAGATATTTGATGAAAAATCGATTTAAATTGAATTTTCATGAGACAATATGGTAGCGAAGAGGATTGAAGAATTTTAGGAAATCGACCTATTTCCTATTTAATCGTGAAATCTATCAAAAAATTGAAAATTTGTAGAAATTTACAGAAAAATTAAGAAGAAAGTCGATAAAAATGTCAAACAATATTGAACGATTCACAGATACTTGGCCAATTTTAGAACAAATTTTGAGAAAAAACTATGTTCAATTGTAGGTTTGGTCCACAGTATTCCGCAAATGAATAATTTCGTCATTTACAAGGGCTTCTTTGATGAAACATCAAGCCGTTCGGCGCCAAATTCAGCTGGATCTGAGTCAAAGGTTGATGCAAGGTATGAATAATCAAATTAACTCCGTTTATTTCGTCTGGTTTCATCCATTTTCATGAATCTAATGTTTGACTAATTGTCGGGGGCATTAACTGCGGTTAATCCAGTAGTCAGTACTAATGCTTTGTAGCCAATTGACATTCATTAGCGCCAAATTTCATATTAACAAAAAACAAACCAAAATTTTCGTTTTCTAACTACTTTGCCGCAACGACAACAACAACAACAATCTAGCCCAAATGCTGCTTTTTTTGGTGGCCATGCGAATGATGAGTATAAAAAACGCTTTGCTAGAAAGAGTGCTGCACCAGACAACTTGCCGTTTGTACAGAGTTCGCCAATGGGACGATTTGGAGCCAAAAGACCTACATGTAGTATGGCCGAGGTATAATCAATGTTGATTAATCTCTATCGCTATTTTTTTTAATCTAGAAATAAACTTTATTTTTTCACTCTCTGACAAATGACACACATAAAACACCGCCAAAACAACAACATTCTTGATCTAAATAAACCGCCTAATCAAACCGCCTAATCAAACCGCCATAACATTTATATACATATAACTCACCTTGAAATATTTTGCTTCAGTTTGATTCGATTTGCACCGAAAATTATTCATATCGATAAAATGGACAAATGGGAACACACTTGCCACCGTTTATTCCTTTATTTCGTATGCATAAAATCAATTGTTATTTGTGTCAAGTGTGTCCATGTCCGTTACACTTTTCATTTCGAATGTCATGCATTGCATTGCATCTACAATGCAAAATGAAACGAAAACAAAAACAGTTGACGAAATGAAAAAAGAAAAGAAACAACCAGCCAAGCAACCATCCATTCATGTCTCACAATAATAAATTGCGATGCATGGCTTAGGCTAGCGTGCACAGTTTGTTGTGGTTGTGTTGTTTGATTTTGCTTTTGTTTTTGTTTCGACCGTATCATGACCTGTTTGATGAAGAGCCGCGCTTCACGCTTTGACCACTTTGATAGTTTCACCACCGAAAATACGGTAACAAGGAATAACATTAGCGACGAATTGTGTTTGTGCGGAAGTGAAAGTGAAAATGATTGATAGTTTGAAGCGTCATCGTCAATATGTTGTGTGTGTGTGTGTGTGCTTGCAAGCATATGCAAAACAAATATGACTTTCGCTTTGCCATGCCATGCTGCACTGCATTGAATTTAACCTAAATTGTTTGACCGTTTTCTTGTCTTTCTACACATTTCAGATCATTCATAGTTCACCGTCAGCGGTAGCCAACGAACCGCACAGGTACTACTACTTTTCCTTTTTCTTTAATGCGACCAATTTAATATCCAAAGCATCACATCATTTGCGTCCCTTCCTTTTCCATTTGAAATTTTTTCAATTTTTCATTTGATTCTGTACCCATTTTCCACCATTTTATCAATTAATCCAAACATGTTTTTTGTATTTTTGATTTCTTTTTTGTGTTGTTATTTTTCTTTCAGACATTTTTAAAAGAAACTATGTTGCTCAATTTGATTTATTCTTTCCCGGGGATCACACACACACACACACACACACACACACACACACAGCAATTTTCATGAGATTGTTTAAATTATTATTATAATTTTTTTTTTTTGGTATATTATTTATATATAAATATCGTTACTTATTCCAAAATAACACGTTTTGTGTTGGCGAGGTCAAAATTATCGTGGCAATTGTTCGTCCAAAACAGAAATTAGAACATTTATTTTCAATTGCCTTCATTGTTCTTTATTTAACACATTAGTTATGTAAATTGGTGAGAGATAGAAAAAAAAAGAATAAGCCCCAAAATAATCGATAACATGTATATAACATAGTATTTGCTTTTTCTCAACGAAACCGGGGCTGCAACTGTTCATTTTTTTTCTTTTGTGATGACAATAATTTATTTTAGTTTAAAAAAAAAGAAAGAAGAAGAAGAAAAAAAGTGACTTAAAACCGTTTTGTACATGGCCACATACTACATCACATTTTTTTTTCAAGCCTATAATTGAAATTCTATCTGAATCCTATACATTCTAGTAGTGTTTCCAATGACATTGTTCCGTCGAGGTTGCACATCGTCGTATAAAGTATTAAATTTGTCAATCAATTGTTTTTTTTTTGTATAATTTTGCAATATTAGTATTCATATTGTCTATTCCTTATTCCAAACGGTGCACCTGAAGAGAGAAAAGTTGATTATTTTTTTTCATTGGCAAATTTTTGTTTTTATTCAGCGAAAAAAAATTGATATTTCCACTTGAACTTAGACTTAAATCAAAATTCCATTTATTTTTCTAAAAACTAACATTTGATGTGCAAAATAATATATTCATTTTTGTGCGAACAAAAGAAAATCGTCTATCACATCGAAGATGTCCATCTTCGGCATGATACCCATATCAATTTGGCATGTTTTTGAGATATCACTCCGTAGAGTTGATCTGAAATACCAAAGCATACTATAATCGAACTATATTGATTTTTTTTTTTTTCGAGTCTGACACAGACAGACAGACATAGCATGTCGTGATAGATGCATTGTGATAGGTTATAAGCAATCAACTACTTTTTGCTCAATAGACATATATATGTCGTGCAACAATTGAATTATACAATTTACGTTATTTAATTGTGTTCAATTATTTAATTTTTTTATCCATTGTTAATTTATTTAACTTAATTGAATCATTTTTGTGTCTTTATTATTTGTCTCATGCAATAAACCAGTTCATTCACATCCATTTAAACCGATTGTTTGTTTTTTGTTGTTGATTATTTCTTCCATTCACCTGAGTTGTTCATTGGTCACTTCCTGATTGAAATTATTGGTAATATGACAGATATTTGGTAAAAAGTAAAAAGTCTTGGGAAAGAGTAAATGTTTGAAATGAAAAAAAAAATTCCCTGAAGAAAACTGAATGAAAGAAATGAATCTGCTTTCAGTGATGAGAATGAGCGAAAGGAGTCGTGGATTGAGGCCGAATCCAGTCAACCATTGGCCGATGCAGATGACGTGGATGGTGGTACAGATGCGAGTGATGCCGGTGATTCGAAGACAACAAACATTGATTACAGCAAGAGCGTTGAGGACATAATTGCTGATATTGAAAGTGCTAGTCTTTCGTTGGATCCACCAACTGCAAACGGTAGCGGTGGCGGTGATTCGGGCAAATCACGTGAAGTGAAATTTAACGATGCAATTATCGAAGCTGAACAGTCGCATATCCGAAAGCAAGTCAAACCAAATAAACAGCATACCGGATTGAAGAATATTTCATCAAATGTGGGTGCGGCTGTTGCACCATCCAATAAAATGGAATTCGATCAAGAAGCACCGGAAAGTTTTGGTGTGGTTAAGATCGGTCGGCCAATTGGTAAATCAGAGCATCAAGATGATGCCGTTTCGACCATTTCGTCGATCAATTCCGAAGGATTAACCGAACAAGGCTATTTCGATTTGAAATTTTATCACAATAAACTCTGGTAAACGATGATCATTTCAACAACACTTTTTATATATCGTACAACATATACATATATACGTATCGCAAAACCAAACCAAAACTAACGATCCTTTAAACAAACTATTTAAACAACACTTACCGTGCAATATTCGAGACACAGTCTTTGTGTGGGGTGTCAAAGTCATAAACAGACGAACCAAATATTTATATTAGAATAAAATCGATTGTGAAACCATTTTTCTCCCACTTCGCTTCACTTTTCCAGGCGCAAATTTACCGGAAATTAAAAAAAAACGTTGCCTCTATGATTGAAATCCATGCGATATTCATGAAAAAAATAATTTGCGTAGAACCAAAAAAAACATAAAAAATTGAACAATTCTAATGAAATAAAAAGAAAATAAATAGACAAATCGCATCTAATTGTTCGAAACATTCTTGGATTCGTCTCGCAACGATCGAGATTTAAATTGGGCTCAATGTTTTTGCAAAAATCTTCTTTTTTACACACGTAGTACAATTTTACATATATTAAGTTAAAGCATTGGATTTATTTGCGCTTAACAATTTTAATTTTTGGTTTTTCAATGAACAAGCAATTTAATGTGCATCGCACTCAACGTTTTATTGATAGAATTCCTTTCTGTTTGGTATTTTTTTTTGAAAAATGCCTCTTTGTGTTCACTTTATTAAAGACATTTTTATGTCCATTGATTACAATTTATTGAGTATAACATGAAATGTAAGTCTTTTGTTTTTTGGCTTATTCATTAGCGTTTTCACATAGTGAAATATTTGATTTTCCAATAAATTTGCCAAGTTTTTCCCTTAGAATTTGTGCGAGATCGTAGTGCAATACAAGTATTATTGAATAACTTTATATAATTATTTGTTTTTTTGTTAACGTCTATAAATCGCTTGGACCCATTTGTATGTCTCTGTTTGATATGAAAAAAAAAAATACTAATAAGAAAATGATTCTAATTCTTTATATACATGCAAAGTAATTAGACAAAAACAAACTTCATACAAAGACTTTGAGTACAATGTGCTTACATATTAATAATAAAATTCGTATTACAAAACCTTACTCATCGGAACACGTTTTTTTCATTTTATTTTCTGTTTCAATTGGCCTATTTCAGTATTTTGATCAGCACCAGACAAAAGGCACACCCCAATTTGTATAAAATAAATCAATACACAAGTAGTATTCTCTTGTGGATTTTTTTTCGACTAGTGTTAACTATTTTAGGACACTTGGACGAGTACGAGTAAAAAAATCTTGCCTCCAACTAATGGTTTTGAACGTTTTTTGAGTAATATTTTAAAAATTGTAGTTTGTTACCGATTCAGCCAATAACATTGAAAATTGGCTGCCATGCATCCTGGCAACCATAAAAATTGACGAAAATTGATGTTTTTTTTAGAAAAGTCGTTTACGAGGTGTTTGGTTTTTGGGCTGTAACCGGAATCACAATATGTGTGGATTGCATTAAATAAAGCGCCATCTATGTTATGATACTTTTGTTCGTATAAGTCCATATGCATTCAATTTGAATGCTCAAAAAACGTTCAAAACTATTAGACGGCGGCAAGATTTTTTTTGGTGCCCTCAAAATTTTAAATTTTAAAATATTCACTGAAACAGAAAAAAATGGAGCCGCCTACGGACTATATGATTCCATGTGTTGTTCCTCACTTCCTTAGTCTTATTCTATGTGTACTTTGCTTAAATCGTCAACAAAACGCATGGAGTATTTCTCTGTTTTGCTTCATAAGGTAGGTGTTATAATACAAAAGTTCGTTATATTTCTGAAACCTTATATTGTGCGAATAAAGATTTTTATCCGTAACTGCGATCCTTATAATCGAACACTTTCACCGATACGGATAACAATTTGAATCGGTATTTGTGAGTCATGAGAAAAAAGTACGAGTTAACCGTAGCACGAGCAATCTGTGCCATTTTTCATAGGGCGCCTCCACTCGCACTAAATTTGTATTATGAATGTTAAGGTGCGTGCAGCGCCCTTCAATGTAAAACCAATACAAGCTGAGGATGGCACGCGAGGTTTACTTGCACTGTCACAAATAAAGAAAATTATTTGTCCCCAAACGATTAATATTTTTAATCTGTGGAAGTGATGACAGTGACCCTTTTTGCAGTACATTATACGGAGAAAAAATGACACATACAAGGTGGTTATCATTTGGGCCATAGCTCGGCAACGGAGCAAGATATGGAAAATCGTACTGGCTTATTTTGGGTACATAATTCCGTTCCATTTTTGTGCTCTTTTTCGTTTCGGTTTCACGTTTCCGTTCCATTTTCAAACTTTTTTCCGTTTCCGTATGGAAAAATTGAAAGAATCACTAATACATAACGAAATTTGAATCACCATGTGCAACTTTTATGAGAAAGTAGTACAAATTCCGTTTTCTACACGAGAAAAAAATGTCCGTTTCGGTTCCGTTTTCCGTATTCCGTACGGGAACGGAAAACGGATATCCGTTCTAGGGAACAAAATCATGTACCCAGAAAATACATTTGCTTATTTTGATATTTATGTTCAATGCGCTCAACCGGAATCATTCATTTATCATACTTGTTGGTGTATTACATAGATTAAATTAATGACAACAAATCCTTTATCCCGGAAATTTGGCGCAAACACGATCGAATCGGTTAATTTCTCAAATGACATTGAAATAATGCAAAGCAAAAACAAATTGGTGTAAGCAATAGGCGATGTCGTTTGACAGAAGAACGATGCAAGTGATTTTAATTTGATGTCATCTGAAATTAGTACATTCATATCGAAGTATTGTGGGGCCGAATATACATCGATTCCATTGAGTTTGGCATCGATGCCGCATCGTTTGAAATGCAGCACAATTCGATGTTCAAACGGTTCGTCAATCATTTTATTTCCATCTCTTTTCTCCATCGCTTCCTGCATGCAAGCATTTTGTCACTGCAGAGCAAAAACTGATTTTGTATTAGAGTGAGTGTCTAAAGAGTATCGAATTGCAGTGTGCGATTTTTGTGCTTGAACCGAAGCGCAACATGAAATTTGTTACTTAAAAACGTTACATGAATCGTCACTTCAATAGAAGTGTAACATGAAAAATGTGATTTTTGGATGTGGTTTTTGGCGTGTTTTTTTTTGTTGCAAAAATGACAAAAGATAATGAGTTAGTTTGTTCAGCTAAGTTTCGGCAATGGATCAATTCTATAACTTTGTTAAAGATAACAAACATCTCGTTATCTCTTATTATTTTCGCGATAAACACAAAAATCCATATTCAAAATTCAACCTTTTCGTGCTGCGCGTTATTAATTAATTAATTATTCTTTAAGAAAAAAATCAACAAATCAAATTCGAACTTTTACAAGTTTTAAGTATTGATCAATTTTCCACTGGAAATAATTGATCATGATTTCTATATTTTCGCGTGAAAAGTGTCTTGTACATTTTTGCTACTTAACGACTGCATTTATTCTACTTGACGTACAAAAGAGATGAAACATTAAATGAATGCACTTAGTGTAAAAGGCAAGTATTAAAGTTCAGCAAGAAAACAATAAAATGAACATTGTGCTGTGTATATAATTCATATGGACTTCGATATAGGAGATAAACAGTTTCTAAGTAACAAACCAAATAAAGGTGCAACATATTCGTAGTGAGAAATTCGCATTCTGTAGAAATCATTTGTTCCATCAATCGGTCGAACATAAATGAAAATTGCACCAATTCGAACCGAAAAATCCAAAGTCATTCATTTAAATTCAACTGTACGATAAAATAATGATCATTTGAAACGAAGTATATTGCAACACTGAACAAAATACGTTGCGCTGCACAGTTTCAACGCTTCGCCGATCATCCGTTGCGATGGGTTGCGTTGTCCGGTGTCTCTCACCGTGCGGCTGTCAATATCTGTCGACAACAATATATGCTGCTGTTGTTGTTGTTGTTGTTGTTGTTGTTGTTGGTGTGTGAGCGTCTCTGTGATACTGTCATGTATAGGCATTTGTTGTGTATGTATGCTCTCTGTATGTATATATCTGATGTGTGCACTATGAGCAATTGAATAACTTGTTTGCTCCTTTAGACAGCTTGGTCAACGGCTCTCTTTCTTCGTGTTTCATGTTTTATAGTACGTTCATTCGTTCGTTTGTCTTCTATATTATAATTCTGTGTGTTGTGTGTGTTTTTTTCTGCTCTGCTCTCGCTTCTTCATCGTTTCAATCTAGTTGAAATTGTGTTTTCATTTTGAGGAGTTGTTGAGCTGTTTGCCCCCTCCTTAATTTTGTTTATTTCAATAATATTTGAATCGTTTGCATTTTCCAACTACAAATTTGTTTGTTTTTTTGTTTTCCTGTGTATTGTGTCTGTTGTCGAAACGATTTTGCATGGATTTGATCAAATTTGGGTGATCATTATTACAACGAAACCAATAAAAACAACAACAAAACTAAGAAGAAGTGACAAACAACATAGTGTTCGTGAAAGAAAGTGTATAAATCGTGACTGAAATACCAGAAACATTCTGTTTGGTTGTGTGTTTTAAGTAGAAAAAAAAAGAACTAACAACCAAAGATTTCAAGAGAGTGAGAAGCAGAGAAACAAACAACAACAAGGAGAAAACATTTAAATTTTCTACATTCAATTGATTCGACAACATCGATCACAAATTGACGTGCATCAACAAGATTTTGAGATCGGGGGAATTTAAAACATACACACGATCCAAACAGAACAGCGAAAAAAAAATAAACAAAGGGAGAAATCCCAGCAGTGTCTCTGACAAAATAATAACAAACCAGTAAATGACAAAAGAAATTTATCACGAAGGATGGCTGATAAAGTCTCCACCAACAAAGCGCATATGGCGAGCTGTGAGTCACTATTATCGTGTTTTTTTTTCGTCTCTTGCTGCCTTCTTTTCATTCATTCTTATTTATTTATTTCATATGTCTTGTTATTTTTTTTTTCTTCGTATTCTCTCTTGTTATTTTATTTCGCACATAACTAAGTACAAAATACAATATGCGTGTATGAAGCAAGAAAAAGCATTATATTTGGACTCTTGTTCTTCCGCTCATTTAAATAAAAACTCATACTTAGTAATTAGCGAAAATAAAGTGAATGCTATCACACATTAATTAAACGGATTCCACGAATCGAAAAATGGGATACCGTCCAGTGCGTGTGTGTGTGTGTGTGCATGCATGTGTGTGTTGGGCGTTCGGTTTGATAAATTTCAAGGTCTTTTGGATTGGTGGTGTGAATGGATGTTATGCTGTGAGAAAGTGGATTACAAATGTTCTTTGCGTGTTCTTTATCCGCTTAGTTTTGTTTTAACAAATGCAATAATAATCGTAATGTTGGTTGCGTGTCATTTAATAGCGTTGGCGAAGACGATGGTTTACATTGAAACAAGGCGAAATACCGGAACAATTCTGTCTGGAATACTACAAAGATCGTAGCTGTCGCAAATTGAAGGGTGTCATCGATTTGGATCAATGTGAACAGGTGGATTCGGGGCTACAGCTTGAGCATCGCAAGCAAAAGTTTCAGTATATGTTTGATGTGAAAACACCGTTACGTACATACTATTTGGCCGCAAATTCGGAGGAAGATATGAATGCCTGGGTCAATTGCATTTGTGAAGTGTGCAACTTACAAGATTTATCAAAACCACAACAACAAAATAGCACCGATAGTCGACAATGTAAGGGGAAAACCAATGCCAGTTTCTCGTTTTATTTCAAATACATGTCCAAGGTCTCAAATCAGAACGTAATTATCAAACGTTTAATTGCTTCTCTTTTTTTTCTCTCCATTGTTTTCAGATTACAATGTGACGTCGGAAATGAGCGAAAATCAAAGCGGAGGCGGTGGTGGTGGTGGTGGTAGTGCTACCAATCAATCATTAGTGGTCAATTTAAAATCAACGAATTTATCACCGGTCAAATCATCGAATGCATCCGATCAAATTGCATTGTTGCCCACAGCCGAACCTATCGACAACAATAATTCCGTTTATCAAAATTACGATGCAATGTGCCGCAATTCTACGTACAACAATCGCGAAACACTCATTTGTGACGTGCCACTCAATAAAAATGGTGGAGAAACGAAAGAGGATTATTATAATTTTGTGGTAGGAAATTTGGATTTTTGTTTTGTTTTGTTTTGTTTTTGCACTAAACGTGGTTGCATGAGTCTTTTGTTGGGAGTTTTTCTTCGACAGATTCCGATTTTACACGTGAATTTTTTTTGATAGGGAATTGACAATGGAGAATTTTGTAGAATGAAAAAAAAAAACGCATTTAAAATAAGAAACAGAGTTTAATGACAAATTTGCGAATATTTTCAGGCGATCGCGAATACAGCAAGCCGTTCGCAAAAGTCAGCCAATAATGGTAGCACGGATGTGTCTTCACTGGGCGAACGTCGAGTAGTTGTAAATCAATCGGCCCACCGTAAAATACCAGAGAATTTAAAATTGAATAGCGTTCCAGATTTGCCCCCAGCCAAATCCGACACCAGAACCATTTCAACGGGGCCATACATTGCAATCGCCGATTGTATCTCGGGCAATCCACTGATCGATCGTGATAATCCAACAACACCACTCAATTCGCTCGATCCAAAATTCTATGATACACCCAGAAGTCATTTTAATATCGGTTTGAATGTGGCCAACGAACAACCATATTCACCAAAACGGAACAATATTCAAACGGTAAATGCAAATGAAACCCGGTATAAATGGAAATGGTCAATTTTACTTAACAATTCATTGTATTTTTTAGATACCACAAACACCACAAAGCGGTAAATCCAGCCCAACCGATTCGGAAGGTGTTTTCACAGATGATGAAGATTGTGGCTGGCCAAACGATTCAACCAATTCAGAACGTTGCATGAGACCGTCGGAAAGTTCTGTGGAGAATGATTCCATTGTATTTACGTATGCGCAACGATTTTCAAAGATGCCCGACGATGAGAGCGTGACGGCGAAGAGAGTTCTTCCAAAGCGACCGTTGCCAGTTGCTGGCCTTTCGCTTGAGAAAACAGATTCGGAGGAGCAGAACAAAGATGTGAATTCGTCGGATACGGAAAATGCATCACCAGCCATTGCCTACGGACCGAAAGATATTAATTCCGTAAGTGAATTCAAAAATCATTCCAAATGCTTGCAATTTCTATTCGGATCACGTTCTAACAAAACTTCATTTTTTTTTCTTTACTTTGGCAGTATGTTGATGAAAGCTATGATATTCCGCGTTCGCATCAATTGCCATATACGAAGCACAAAGAACCGAATAATTATGAAAATTTCATGGATTTAGGCGCAAGTGGAACAAGTGCATCGATGCTCGAATTGGATGAAGGTCGTTCGAGCAAAAAAATTGGCGAAAAAGTCGAATTTACGACGTCGACAATGCCGAAGAAGCGACACTTTTACACAAATGCCGCTCCGGCCAAATTCGATGGGAATGTCTTTCGTTATGATTTCGATGATAAAGTAAGTATTCACAGTTTAAGTTTGAATAGAAATTCATAGTTCAAATCGCAAAACGAATATATTTCAATCGATAAATATCAGGCAATTCATTCATTCGATCGATTCATTAAATCATTCTGATGATTGAACAAGACATTGATTCAGAAATATTCTCAATATGAACGATGTGTGACACATTATGTGTCATAATCGAATTTCTCCATGCAAATTGTTTTTAATTCAATTTCGCATTGCTTTCGCAGCAAACGGACGCTCCAGTGGTTGATCGAAAGCTAAAGCCGAAGGTGCATCACGATGACAACGATATTAAAGTGGCCACACCGACCCGTGTAAAAAGTGTGCCATCGGTGAAATCATCACCGAATCAATCCGATTTAAAGCCACCATGTCCCGACCGTAAACTCAAACCAACCACTCCGATCAAGGTAATTAGTCCGATTTGTCATTCAACTCCTAATAAGTGAGTGAATTGAACCCCATATAATAAAAGCCATGTCAATCCATTATTCAATTACAGTTCGAAACGAGCACGTTGCAACGAAGAGGTGTATTAACAGCAGCAGCAACCGATGCAGAATTCCAGGGTGGATACAACAATGAACAAGTGTCTAAGACGCTGCCTCGCAATTACAATAATTCCACATCGACACTAACCAGCCCAGTAGTGGCGCCGGTAGCAGTGGCACCACCACCAACACCATCGCAGGGTGCAACCGGTGGCCGTCAGGCAGGCGTTCTCGAGTATTTCGATTTGGATCATTCGAATCCACCACCAATTTGCAATAATTCCAACACATCGGTAAGCACATCGAATCTGAATGCACCGCCAAGCGGACCGGTATGGTCAAACAATTTATCGCATCGATTAAGTGCCGTTAGTATTTCGTCTTCATCAGTATTTGGGTATCAGAATGCCGCAAACGATGCAAATATCGGAGCTGGAGCGAATCCACCGAGCATCACATCGCCCGTTGGCAGTGTTAGCAATCCACCGACGGCAAGTGGCATTGTTTATAAATCCGTTGATTTTATTAAAACGGAAGCATTTATGCGAACGAGGCAAGACGCTGAAATGGCTCGCGCAAAAAATCGATCGAAAGAATAAAATCAAATTGACGTTGTTTTCATTTTAACTGAAAAGATCTGCCTTTTTAAGAAAGAAGGATAAAGAGAGAAAGAGAGAGAGAGAGAGAGAAATCTTCCATTACAAGTGTTAGTGCATTTAAATTTGAATATAGTGATGATTGTAGGTGCCTTTGCAAAGTCTTTTTATTGGTAGAACGAATTTTATTCTAAATGAAATTTACTTTTTATTCTTCTTGAGGAGAACAATTGATTCATAAATCTTTTTTTTACTATTTACAAAACTGTTTCTTTTTTTCGCCATTGTCGTCTGTATAATTGAAATATTGATAAATTGAATTGGATTTGTCCGAAAAAAAAAATATTAACGAAATTTATTTCTTCTTTCATTTTTATTGAACATATTTTATGTCTAAAGAACTTATATGGTCGGTCAATGAATGATTGGGCGGTTATCAGAATAAATTTTCAATTTTTAAATTGTAAATGCATTTTTTTCTAATTCTATTGTCGTCAAACTAATCGAGAACTATTTTAGAAAAAAAAACATGATAATTTTTTTTTGGTAGAGGTCATGTAATTATTCTTCTTTAAAGCTAATTGAATTTGTATCTTTCGATATTGAATTGACCACTGCATTTCAAACAGTTTCCATAGCACTAATTTGTGTCTTCATCCATATTTTCTTCGGGCACAATGATTTCATAGTCATTTCGCGGAAGGGGCAAAGACAAAAGTTTTTCACGAAGTGATTCTCTTACTTTCTTCTCATATCTCCTCGTTACTATTGCCGATTTGCAATCAAATTGGTCGTTATTTATGTTCAATTGATCTCGTCTTAGCAACGGATTGTGAACCTGATTTTTTTTGTATTTTTTTTTGTCGGATGGAAAATCGGTATATTGCAATGGAGTATTTTCTCCGCCCATCAATGGAGTATCAACATGTGTTAATGCAACAATGGTTTGTGCTTCTTGCATGACTCGATCATTCATCGTTGCTGGTGGACGAGTTGTTGATGTTACTTGCCGAGTAATGCCATACTCACTCAGCAGAGCATGAGTCGTTTCAATGTCACATTCCAAGGCTACTTCTCTGGCCATATCAGTCACTTTTCCCAGTTTAATGACTTGCTGCATATCTTGATCGGATATTTGTGGCTCGGGCAAAATTAGTTTCGAACGCGGCAAACACGAACGTTTTTTAGCTGATTCCGAAAAATTGTTAGGTAGCCTGGTCATATCATTTTTCTTCTGTAATTTCGCTTTATTTTTTGCTCGTTCATCCTGAAACAATTTCGTTGTGAAATGTTATTAAAATGGAATAAATGACAAACATATTTGATTTGTTTACTGAATAGTGTAGTATTTTACCTTTTCTCTTTCGGTACGTAGCTCGCCGTCTAGATCTTGTTGACGGATTTTGTGGAAATTGAATGGATTCCTTCTAATATGCTCTTCAGAAGTATCGTAGAATCCGGGAGCAGGTGATTTTTCAAATGGTATCTCAGCATTACAGTCCAAGCCTTTGGTTTTGCGACGATCACCATCACCACCCATGCCAGCCTGAGAAAATTTTAGAAAAAATCCAAGATTGGTTAGTTTAATGTGTTACAAAATTTGAAATTCATTAGGAATGAGAAGCGATGATGATCGATTCATAATCGAGAACCATTACTCATACACATCACATGAAAATCGCCTCATTAATCCGAATAAAATCGCTTACCGCACGTAATTCTCGCATCTTCTGTAACTTGGCCAAACGTTTGGCCTCGTCCAAAAGTTTTTCTCGTGATTTTCGTTTGATCTTTTTGCCTTGTGTATTCGCTAAGCGTGCTCTTGCTTCAGATAACATCTCTAACTCATCTCCATCCATATCTTTTGCATCATACCTTGCCGGTTTAGTCTCTGGATTTGGATCGATTACACCCGGTTTCAATTTTAGTGGATTATCTTCGACTTCATCCTTCTTTTGAGCCATATCCCTGTAATTGCAGAACGAATGCATTTATTGGTCTATTCAAACTTTAAAATATATTTCCAACAAATGAGAAAAATGTGAAGTTCACATTTCAAATTGTGAACTCATGTCACTTACAACAAGTATTCATATCGGTCCAAACATTGAGCGGCAGTTCTGCCGATCATCGGTGCAATAGTTCGCCACTGCGTTGGCATTAATTTGGCCAAGTGAAGTAGTCGTTCATCTTCGTCTCTTGACCATTCAGTTTTCTTAACACTTGGATCCAGCCACTCATGCCAACGTGCTTTGCATTGTTCAGCAGATTTCCTATGTAACAGTGATGATACGCGGGACCATTGAGTTTTTCCATATTTCATAACGGCTGCCTTCAATATTTCATCCTGAGAAAAAAGAGATCACATTAGATTTAAACATTTCATTGCCAATTGATGATGATTACAATGCAAAGAAATTACTTACTTCAATATTCCGCCAAATACCACCTTTCATCATGATACGTGGCATATTCGAAATGGAATTAAAACGTATGAATTTATTCGATTTGTTCAATAATGAAAATTTTGAATGATTCTTTCACACAACTCCTTTGAAGCCAACAAAAATGAATCAATCGTTTCAAATCGTTGAAACTCTATCAATTGGAATGTGAAAGAACGTAAACAATGAATGAACAGTACTAGACTCTTTTAAACAATTGTCAAACGATCTAGTACGACGGTAGTTCCTCACACTGGTCCCTGTGAAATGAAAATCTTAAAAGAAATCTAATTGAAATTCAAACTCACCAACTGCAAATGCAAGCGGAATGTCGATGGATCAGATGATGCTTAAAGAAATTACTTTAAAGACTCTGCACAGTCTTAGAAATGGCAAAGAAAAGGAAGCAAGATATTATACAGGTCTTTGGAATGCCCAAACGACTAAAATATTCAAACAATCAAATTCTAAACGCCAGCTCAAGGAACGCCAACTAAACAGTAAAATAAGCAGAGGTACGACTAGAGCTAAAAATACGATTAGCAGAAGCCCGACGAGAGCATAAAAAAGATTGTTAGAGGCCCTATTAGAGCATTCGCCATTCGAGAACACATTCTCAACGAGAGCATGAAAAATACCTAGCAGAGGCTCGACTAAAGCATAAAGAACACCTAGAAGCTGAGAATAGAAAACAACTACAACCGTTAATTGATCATTTGATTACTAATCTGAGCAATGCTAATCCAGCATTGGTCGAATTAGTGAAGTGTTGGTCAAACTGATTTGAATTTGTCTATAGGTATTATTAATTGATTTCCATTTACCATTTACCATTCATAATTATTTACCAATTCATTTTCAATCATAGTTCAAACATATTTTTCTCTATTCAATTTATCAAACGTATAGTACGTTTTCGCTACATCTAAGCACTATTTTTGTAGCGCTGCACTTGGCCAAATTCGCAAACTAAACATCAAAATAATGAGTTATAACGCAATTTTTTCTTATCATTTTCTTCTGTTTTTTTTTATTCTCTTGAAGCAAATGGGGAGTTTTGGTAGAAATAACAAAATAATATTTTCAAAAAGGTCTTGTAAAATTGTTCAGCATTTACAACGAATTGACTTGGTTTCGATTTTTCTTTTCATAACAAATCAAATATTGTTTGCCCATAACAAAACGGATTTGAGATTAGAATAAATCTTCTTGTGTGCTTCCGCTGGGTAGTTTTTCATCCGATAACCAAGACATGACCCATGCAGATGTGTCTTTTCCCATCCAAAGTATGCAAATCAAAAATGCCTCTAGTGTACCGAGTGTGATGCCAGCCAACACGTCAAGAATGTGATGACGATAGAGTAGCAATCGTGATAAGGCAACACTGGTGGCCCATGCAAATAATGGTGGCCAAAACAATAATGGCATTGGATCAAGTGCGGTGAAGAAACACAATATGAAAAATGCCCGTGATGCATGACCCGATGGAAAGCTAAACTTATCCGGTCCAATGGTAAGGAAGCTGTCATCGATTGTTGGACGCCTTCGTCGTGTTGCCGCCTTAATGCCAGCTACAAAAAATATATCTAAGATGAGGCCAACAAATAGATTCATCTGGGTTTGATAGTAATTTGGATTGTCAATCAGCCAGCAAATGGCCAACAAAGCTGACAACCAAACCAGTCCATGGCAAGAATACTGTAAAGCAACGAAAAAATTATACATATGATGAAATATCTGTTATATGAAACAATCTTTTGATTAAAAGTACATATTTGCTCCAAAAATATGTTAAGTAATTCGGCTCAAGATAACAGTGTGAATGAAACAACGATGAATAATCATTTTGTTATGGAATCGATTTACGTGGAACTGTAGAGAAAAAAAAAACAGCGAATCTACTCACTTCCAAGAATTTGCAGTGCGTTTTAAGCGATCGAATTGGAACAAAATTTAAACTAAACGATACAAATCGTTTGGTCCATTCGACATCTAATGCCAATAGTTTTTCCAGCACCGGTGGAATATCCCTCTTTTCGAATTCGTCTTTTTTTGAACGACCTTCCATATTTGGTTTGTATTTGTTCTTGTAATTCAAGATGACTGTTTGTGATAAAGGGAATAAAATGCAATTAATTTACGTGTTCGAATCAAAGTGACCGTTCGATGTGACACACAAATCAAATGATTAATTTATTTACCCGAACGAATGATGATTTGTCAACCAATTGATTGTTTCACCCTTCAAATTTCAATCCAATACGAACAAGAGCAAAAAAAAATTTCTTTCTTTTCACCCAGAAATTGTTTCAGCAATCGAAATTAATAGCAACACAAATTCCACTTTGACAATTCGGATTATAAATACGTTCACATACGTGTGAGTCATTTGAGAACGCAGCGTTGTCGACGGAGTAAACAAACCATTATACAAACATAGCGTTTTGACAAAAAAAAACTGCTGTCGTCGCTCAAAACGAACCGAGTTCGAATTGAAAATGGCAGTTAAATTATTCAGAGCGTTGTCAATTGTTAGACGGTCAAATGGAATGGATTTTTTTTAATGAAAAAAAAAACTTTTGAGGTTTTAATCCTTTTTTTCATGTGATTGGTCAATCGATGCTTTCAAAGAAATTCAGCATGACTTTTTTCAGTATGAAATTTGCTTTTAACGAATTTGATATGAATGACTTTGAATCTCATTGGCTACATAAAATCGGCGAAAAACATCGCATGGTGTCTAAAAATCATAAGCCGCAAAAGAAATTAAAATGTTGTCACATTCATCATTGCTATGCATAATCGTTGTGTTCGTCTCCTAAATGACCTTCAATCGATTGTTCTCGCACTCGTCTCGTCTCAACGTGTACTTTCTTGTTGCGACGGTTTGAGCACACCAAACATACCGGCCTATGATTTGTGTACGGTTTTGCCGTTAAGCAATGGCTAGCGAAAGTGAACAAAGAAATGACGAAATCACCAAGCATTTGTTGAACCTCACACGGTGTGTGCTCAACTCAAATGGCAAAAAATCTCCCTACTCCTCGGTGTGTCGATGTGATAACGGTGAAATGGTGCACAAAATTCTCCGAGCCGAATGTGATGAGAGCATCGAATGAGGTGCGACACAGCACAATCTGAAACTGAAATCGCATTCACATTTTAGTATTTCGATCCGATACTTGTTTTATTAACCGAATAAGAATATTCAGAACAATTCTTTTTTTTGTAAATTTATATTTTTTTTTAGAAGAAATCAACTCAGCTGCCATTTTCTTTTCATTTTTTTTTTTATTATCTTGATATCTCGTCGTAATTACGTGCATTTTATAGTTCTAAATATCTTTTGTTTTGTAGATAATACAAAAACTTTCGATAGTAAATTTTCTTTGAAAAAAAAAACAACAACCATACAACGAAATCATCAAATCACTTCATATAAAAATTGTATTCACGCCAATTGGAAACATAAAAAAAAACAAGAAAACCGTTTTCGACACGACATTATTCAATTTTTTTTTTGAAAGCGATTTTTTTTTCTATCTCTCTACTTCTTCGTTACGTTATTATTTGAAATAAACGAACTAAGAACTTTTTTTTTTGCTAACGCAATGAGTGCTTTGTTGAAAAATTTGCACGTGCATTTCGATGACGATGTATTGTCCGAATCGGCAACGAAATCGATTATGGACGATGAATTGGCGGGCGAACGGAACGGTGTCATTTTGCCAACACCACCAATGATGCTAAATTATTCACGTGAAAAATTGCTGGAATTTGGCCTGAGCAAAGCATCGAAAGAGCCACCGAAAATGTTTGATCTCAGCGGTGCTGACGACAAACGTATGGAAAAAATCCGATATGTGCTAAAGAATAACGATATTTGGAAATCACGGAGTAAGTACAGTTGATTCTCTTTTTTTTTCGTTTGTTTGTTCGTTTTGCGATTTTTCGTTTCATTTCACTAGCAAAAGATGAAATGATTTTCGGTGTGGGGATTTTTCGGTAGTGAATTCTTGTATGGGGAAAATAGTATACGTTTTGTATGAAAAAAGTCAATTTTCATCAAATTCAAAAGAAATATGGTCAAACAGTACCGAAAAACGATAAATTCTATGGACGTTTTTTTTTTTGGTGTGTTGCTATCTCATGTTCCGGTATCGTTATAGAAAATGGCGCGACCGACGGAACGGTTGTATTGAAAGGTGGCGTTGCTGAGAACAATGCAACACAGAAAGATCAAGCGCGTACCAATTTCCAGCAAATGATTTCGGCCGCTGTTTCGAATGCACAACAACAAAATGTTGAATATGCAGCGGCAACGGCGGCAACATCGGCGGCGGCAACAAATCATCGACGACGCATCGGTAGCGGTCGCATACCAGACCAAAATTTTACCGCACCAGACAATGCCTATGCAATCGGAATGGATGTCCGTTATATGCGTAATAAATTGTTTAAGGAGGATGGAAAAGTGGTGAAAAATTGGAAATCGGGCAACGATTTGCACTGGAACTTCTCGCAAATGGCAAAACAAGCATCCGATTTTGACAACGCTGACGCCAAATCCGATGAACCAGAATGGGCAAATTGCGGTCCAATATCGTGAGTTGAGCAGTTTTTTCTTTCTCTTTCGTTTCACACTTGAATTTAGATTTTTGTTAGCTAATTAGCTACACTTTGGATTTGCTCATTTTGGATTTGTGTTTTGAATTCAGAGCATTGAATCGGTTTAAATAGCGATTTTCCAATTCAAACTTCATTCCATTGAAATTGTCCACATTTCTCACTGAATTTTCTCTTTACGAATATTCTTCGCAGAAAACATGACATCATTGAATTGCATGGTTTCGATGGGCCGGAAGAGGATGATACGTCGAAAAGTGAAAATGATCCAACACCGCCACCGCAACGCAACAGTACGCCGTCGAAGAGTTCACAGAAAAAAACCGTTAAGGATGACCACTTCAATTTTGAAGATTTTCTCAAACTCGATCTACCGCCATCGGTAAACTGTTCGCGTGATCTGGGCGCTGGTGAATCACGATTCTCGCAATGGTTTGGTCGCGATAAATTATCGCATTCGAATGGTAAATTTGCTGGCAATGCATACGAAGGTAAAACAACACAACAATTCTTTGACTATCATCAAAAATCCAATCAAAAGAAGATGAACGCACCGAACAAACTGCGCAGTGTCAACGAATTGGAGGCTGATTGGTGTCCACCGCAAACGTTGCATCAAGCGAAAGTCAAAGAGCAAAAGCCGCAACCGACTCAAGCAGCTCCGCAGCCAGACATCAATGCGATCCGGATGATGCTCAATCAATTGGCCGCCGCAACCGTTTCGCCGGCACAACGTTCAATGAACTCGGCCCAATCAAACTTTTTGCTCAGTTTGATTAACAAAGGTGCCGAGAACTTGTATCAGTATCGGTTGTCACAAAATGCCATCATGGAACGGCCCGATGCACAACTGATGCTACATCGTAAGTTAAGAATTTGGTTTTTGTTTCACAATTTTGTTTAGGTTTTGTTGCCGCATTGTTGATTGTCAATTTATGTTTTAAATTGACATTTCCCAATTGAAACTTCATTTCCATATTTAGGTTTGGTCAATGGTGAACTCACGCAGTTCCACATACTGCAACAGATCAACAATCCCAACATTCATCAGCGTGATCGCGACACTCTGTTGGCCGTGTTTGCATTTTGGAATGAAAACCAACAGCGTTTGGTTCAACAGCAGAAGCAAACGCATTTGTACAAGGAACAAATGAGCCAACAGTTGCGCCAGTTGCAAATGATTCAGATGAAAAATGGTGGTTACATGCAATCACCAACGCCACAGGAGCTACAGATTCACACGCAAAACATTATGCAGAATGCCATGTACAAGAAACAATTCGAGGATCAATACCGCAATTTGCAAAATTTGAAAATTGGCAACCAGACAAAGTTCCAATCGTACAAACCGAACAACAACTTCATGTCCAATCAGCCGTACAACAACAATCGCTTCAATTATAAGGTAAGATGGTTGCCTTGGGATTGACATTTTGTCTGGTTGTGGTGATTGTTTTTTTGTATTTTCTTCGATTTTTTTCTCTCATTTCTTTTTTTTTTCTTCTTCAAAATCATTTTTGATTCAAACACTTCTTCTGAATTTTTCCATTAAAGTTAAGTCTTTGAAATATTTTTATTTGCTAAAAACCCAATTTTATTTAATCAAATTTTATTTCAATTATACAATTTGGTTTTTCGGTCTTTTGTTTTCACAGCAGCAGCAGCAGCAGAAGCAAACTCAATTCGGCCAAAATGGGTTGCAGTTCATTCAGTCGCAGAATAAATCGTTATGGAATCGCCAAAATCAGACCAATGCCACTGGCAATTTTCCATTCATGAATGGTTCGAGCAGTGGCGGTATGCGCAACACCAACGATCTATTCGATGCAACAATGCCATCGTTCGCAAAGTTCGATTCACCAACCATGGGCGGTGACAAAATGTCAATCACCGTTGAAAAGTAACTTCATTGTCCGGTTGTCGCGCACACCGCATTGATGCAATTGAATCATCATCCATTTTTTTCTTCTTCAAAAATCCATTTTCAATTACATTTTAAATACCTTTTTTTCATTCTATTACTAGCAATTTATTATACTTATATTACGTTTTCGCTATAAAAACAAAATGGGCAAATTCCATTCGAAACTGAGTCAAAATAATCCATGTATCATCCAAGAGGATGCAATGTAAACAACAAAAAAGAAACAACAACAAAAGAACAAACACAAATTACCTGTTTAAAACGATTGTCGTAGTACAAATGTGGTAAAAAAAAAACAAAAAATCCTTCATCTTCTTTCACAAAGAAACTATAATTTTGGCTAAATAAAAACAAACAAACATTGAATAAAATTAGAAAAAAAAAACAACTGTCGAATTATTGCATTTACAGTAGGATTTATATCTGTGTTTGGGGCATTTAATTACTCTTAATCATAAAGTCTACGTTGAATAGAAATTCACGAGTTTTGGTAAAAGTGTTATTCGAATGGGTTTTACCTCATAAGAATCATGGTCGATTTAGAAGAATTTATCTTGTTATTCTTCGGCTTTTGATTTATCCGCTTCTGACTTGGATTTTTTATCTTCTGCATTCGATTCATCCTGCTGTTGTTGATTTGGTGTCAATTCTGAGTTTGATTGTTTATTTTCTGAGTTCTTCGATTCCACTTTTAGATTTTTTTTTCCTTTTTCTAATTTTGGGGTGAATTTGAACGCTTCGAATGGCGTTTTTTGTATCGATATTTGCTTTTTATTCAATCGAACCCAGCTGTCGCCAATGAAACCGAAACCACTCTAACCTTTGATCAATTTCATCAGGGATGAGACAAGATCAAACGATGGGGTTTTCCATCACCGGACCACCAACGACGGTTCGCCGGTTTTACTTCTAATTTTTTCATGACATAGCAATTGTTGAGGTGTCAGTTTAAACTATGACCACCTCACCCGTTCTTTCCTCACTCATAAAATGACTGAATGCTTCGAAGAAACTATTGAAACATGAGCAGTACTAGAATACAATAAATATCACAAGATCTAGTATGACAACCCTACGGCACATACCATTCTGTTTATGTTTATTTCTCTTTGTTCATTACAGGATAAAAACAACGATGAAATAATGGAAATAAAATGCATTTAAAATAAGAAAAAATGGAAGTTAAAGTGTATAAAAAAAGCTAAATTTGGTGATTATTTATTCTCAAAGAATCGAATTTTGTTCGAAAAAGTGATGTCAATGACTTTGCATGGTCTGGACACGAATTCACACTCTATAACAACATCACCATCAAACGTACCCAGAGAGAGTGAAGGTAACCAATTTGTTTATACATTGATTGAAAATTTCAAATTTTCGTGAAATTAAAAAAGTTGCTAATTTAATTCCAGTTGGAAGTTCACACCATTCAAGCAGTCGATCTGATACAAATCGATTAAATGTGAATGAAAAGTCAGAGGAAGATATGGAGTATGACAATGCTATATCATATTGTCGTTTTTGTAATCAAAATGGTCATGAAAAGGCTGCAAGGTATTATGCAGGTCTGTATACGCGACTGTGAGAACGGCGTAGTAGGAAAGAGTCGAAGTTAATGGATCAACAACATAAGAAACGGTTAGAAAAGATGCAAATAGAATATGAAAAAAAGTTAGCAGCGATGAAAGATAAATTAAAAGAAAAAAAAAATTGAATGCAGATATTGGGCTGCGAAATGACTTAGTTGCATATTTAAAGCAACAGAAAAGTACTAGAGAAATTGACGAAATACTGAAAAAGTTTGAATAAATGAATTGAATGACTTGATTATACTTCGCCAATTAGGGTACAATTTCATTCAAGACTGAAACATACAGATATATGTAAATTTTTGGCTAAATAAAGATTAAAGAAAAAAATTAAATTATTACATTTACAGAAGCATTTAATTACTCTTATTCATAAAGTCTACGTTGAATAGAAATTCACGAGTTTTGGTAAAAGTGTTATTCGAATGGGTTTGACCTCATAAGACTCATGATCAATGTAGAAGAATTTCTCTTGTTCTTCTTCGGCTTTTGATTTATCCGCTTCTGACTTGGGCTTTTTCTCTTCTGCATTCGATTCATCCTGCTGTTGTTGATTTGGTGTCGATTCTGAGTTTGATTGTTCATTTTCCGAGTTCTTCGATTCCAATTTCAGATTTTCTTCCTTTATGCTGATTTTCGGGTGGATTTCAACGCTTCGAATGGCAATGTTTTGGTCGATATTAATTTTCTTTTTATTCAATCGATCCCAGCCGTCGCCAATGAAACCAAAACCACTTTGACCTTTGATTAATTTCAGCGATAAATGTGGAATCTGTTCATCAGGCTTTGACTTGATATTTTCTGTGCTCACAATGATACCGGCACTATCGCATTCAATGCTCGTGACGTTGGCACAGTTTGCGTTCTGAACTTTTGAGTAGTCTGTTGATTTGACCGCGTTCGATTGTGATGAGCCAAGACGAAACGATGGAATAAAACCGGACCACCAACGACGGTTTGCCGATTTTGCTTCTGATTTCTTTTGTGTGACATAGCAATTACTGCAACCCGCACACGGTTCAGTATATGTTATTTTGGCCGCACAATTCCACGTAATGGAATCATCGAATGCATTGAAGATGAATGTCACATAATCACGTAGCCCGCCAACGTACCAATATCGATCACGTCGATTGAATGCATCGGTAAATGCACTCCATTCGAATGAACTCAACGCATAGACGGGTTTTGCTTTCACATTTGATTCAGCATCGATGAGTTCGATTTTCATCACGTCTTTTGGCACAACATTCCCCAGAACAATGGCCAATGATGCATCAGCCAAGCCTTGAACTCGCTGCAATTCCGATGAATTTGTGAAATTGAACAACTTTTCACCGAATGTACTCTGCCGGCCAACGGGCAAAACACCAATCACAGGGTGGGATTCGTTCAAGTGAGGTGGTCGTCGGAATAGACCTACGGAAGGATGACAAATGGTAAGTTTTTTTTCTTCAAAGGGAATTGGGTTGGGAAATTAAAATAAACACTGGCTGAACCAGCCTCGTTCACGCAATCAAAGCTGGTTCGTTTTACATGAACCCGATCTAGCTACCTGTTACAATCTCCGACAGCGTTCCATCGCCACCGGCACATAAAATGGCCTGTGGTAAGGTCTCTAACTCTTCAACATATCGTCTGGCATGTCCCTCGGAATCCGTTTTCACGATATCAATACTCAATCCACCCAAATTCAAAATTGGCGCACAATATTGCTCAAACTGTTTTGAAACCCAAAGAAAAAACACAACAATATCTTCAATGATTTGCCTCGAGCTGGCGGTATTCCAATACAAACCGTGTCTGCAGCTGATTTTCGATCGGCAACTGGATTCAAAATCACTATAACCTTTGGAAATGGCTGATTGGCTGGTTGTGTTCTATCCCCATAAATCGATGCTTCGGCACAATAATTCCGCATGAGCTGATTTATTCTGCAATTGCATTTACACTGATTAATCGACAAATTGAAATGCGATAAAATGATGCAGCACTTACTTGTATTTTTCGTTGGCATAATTGATGCCATATGTGATTGCAGCCACACCAAATAAAGACTTTTTCCAATGGTTTTGAACACCTTTGACGAGTTTCGTTATTCGAGCCATCGTTTAGACATTGAGGTTAGGTGTCAAATTGAACATTTGACAGTTGTGCATAAACACATTTAGCAACAGCGAAGCGAAGCTGTCACATTTGTTTTTATCGTATTTAACCCAAGAACAACATATATTCCGGTATGACATCAAAACCACTGAAACTAACGCTCGATTTTAGGTGATTTAATTTATTTTCGATTTTTCTCTCTCGTGAAATTCATTTCTCATTGTATTTTTCATTTGATTTTCAGCGGCGGAGCGGAGAATTTGTTCGACAATGTCAAATCACGAAGTATCGAACTGGATGGTAGCAAAACATGTGAGTCATTGAACAAAGAATGAATGCATTTCATGCAATTATCACTGGATTTGATTGATTTTTTCTTGTTGAACTAGGGAAAATTCGCGACTTCTTAATTTGGATCAAAGACAACCTGTTGAGAGAACGGCCCGAACTCTTCATACAAGATGATTCAGTGTGAGTAATGCTGATTCAAAGCATTAATCAAATTGCATATTAAGATTGATTGATAGTGATTGCTTGAACATTTTGTTTTTATGTTATCGATTGTTGTTTTACAGGCGACCGGGAATTTTAGTGCTGATCAATGAAACTGATTGGGAACTCATGGTTCGTGATTTTTTTTTCTGGCTTCATCACTTTATATACGTTTTGTTACTCAAACTAATGGTGTACGTGTTTTTGGTTCTTGATTTTCAGGGTGAGCTCGACTATGAAATCCAATCGAATGACAACATTTTGTTTATATCAACGTTGCATGGAGGATAGATGACAACATTTGATACCGCAATTTTTAATGATAATAAAAACGAACGATGCAAATTATTTAAATAAAGTCATATTTTGTGATTTCATATTTTTCGTACAAAATTGTCCATGGTTTTATGTTTTGTTCAGTATTTCTTTGTCTCGGTGATGTCTCCGGAATTCATCTCCAAAAAACCATTTTGCTGGAACTTCAACGTTTTTTTTTTGTAAAAATACATCGACATTGTTTTTCTCTCTGTTGTCATCAGACATGTTGTTTGTTGGTTATTTGTCCAAACTATTTATTAGCAATTGTTGTCATCCGTATGAAAAGTACGGGTGTTTTATAATCCAAACTGTTCAGCATTTTTTTCTATACCGGTGTTTATTTTATTCTTTGACTTTCCAACTTTTACCACAATGCGTTTTCTCTTTGTGGGTGTTTTTGTGTGAGAAAAAGAAAGAGACAGAAGTAGATACACACACATAGACAGACAGATAGAGACACATAGAGATAGGAGGCGGAGAGAGAGACACACATAAAGAAAAAAAGCGAGGGATTCAATCCATTCATTGTTGATGCCAGGCATCGTGCTAACAAATTGCTCAAATCACAACTTTCGGCAAACACACATTTTTTCTTCTCTATCTCTAAAGTAAAAGAAGAAATACGGAGAAAGAACGCTTCTCATGGTTTTGTCAGGGGAAACTTTGACAAAATTTGATAAATCATTCTAGCTAGTTTCTTTTCATCATCTGTTCAAATACTAAATAAATGGAGATATCAATTGTGGATAGAATGAAAAAAAAAAATCAAATAAAAAAAAAGTTTCTACACTCACTGGGAATCGATCGGTATATAGAGCTGATATGAAGAGTAAATATTTTTTTCATTTGTGTGCCACTCTTATAATTCGCTAGAACAATGTCGTGCACAAGTTGAGTATATAAGTCGTGCTTGACATATATGTCATGCTTATGAGGGAAATGATGAGCAATTTATGACTGAATAACTTATGTTATGAAATGATGTTTCTTATATCATGGACGTAATGCTGATCCTTTGTTACCATTTTTTGTGTGTATGAATGTGTTGCTGTTGTTGTTGTTAGCGAACATCACTAATGGAAAATGAAGCACCGCTTTTTTTTAGCTTTGTCTTTTTTTTTTCTCTAAGCATTTCGAATGTTGGATTATTATTATTTGCTGTTTGCTAGCGAAAGATAGACTACTGGGCTATTGTCATTGTTATGGTTTACTTCATACATTTATTTATTTATTTTTATACGTTGGCATTATTCCGAAATGAACGCATATCATAAAAAGAGAGTTTGCATTGCAAATTCGCTGAAAATCCATTTAGCTTTGATTTTTTTCCCGTTTGTTTGTTTATCTGTCTACTTTTACTTAATTTTTCGGTCTGAAATAAGCCATTAAAACTTATGAATGCACGATATTCGTGGATGTGTGTGTGTGTGTGTGTGTGTGCGTGTGATAAGATTTTTTCTGAGTTATTATTTTGCGCTGATATCGTAACAGGCGAAATATGAATTAATGTAGAAAATTTTGGTTTTTAGCAAGATAATTTGCAAATTATGGTATTATATTCGGATTAGTGGCACTTTTTTGAATAAAAAAAAAGTGAATTGATTTAAATCAATCTTATGTGTTCGACCTACATCTTGACTAAGATAGTAATGAAATTTTTCCACTAATCAGATTCTTCTTTAAACTAGTAATGAAATTTAAATGAGATTTTGGATGCTATTCTGTGATTGATAGACATTTTTATTCGACTTATAAATTATTCCGGTAAAAAAATGATAAAATGATCAAATTGGACTTGGTCTCATCAGTTCCGCTCATTATGAATTTATGATAAGAAGTTTTTCAACACATAAATGGGTCCGAGTGACCCAGGGTTATAAAACACTTGCTACTTCAAATATCGATATCGAACAATTTCTCCTCTTTCTAACGTATCCATATTTTATTAAGTGTGTCTCATTTGAGGATGTGAGCACGTAAATGAAATCAATTTAAATGACATATATTGATAATCCCTCCAATTGAATGCCATAAGTGAATTTCCATCGGAATTCGAAATTCGTATGATATGTGAATAAAATAGCATCGTTATCGGGGGCGTACGAATGAATCTGGTTTTCTTCGAATCTCGAAAATAGCTTGCCCTATTTTAATAATGAAACAAATTTATTTTTTATCCATACGGCAACAACAACAACAACAACGGTTCTATCGATTTCAAGAAGTACTTGATTCAAAAGGTTGTGTATGTTGTTTCTGTCTTACGTTAGTCGGCCAACCTCCCCTGTTCGCCAAAGAAAAGAAAAATCATAAACCAGGACAAGAGAAAGAAAAAAACCCAGCACCAATTGTTGTTTCAACAACGAACTCGTTTGAATGGTAAATGTTTGGAGTCGAACACACACAGCTCACGTGCATTTTATTAGGGATGATCAAACTTTTTCCTTCGAAAAATTTCATGTAACACGATGATTTTGTTATGAATAAAAAAAAACGATGACGGGCGACCAAACGAGAATGGCTGTGTTGGAAGCGCTATGGAATGAAAACAGAATTTCGATTAAACGGATTCCTTTGCATGATTAACGGAATCCATATTGATTAGTTTACTGCGGAAGAATCATTCAACTTTTGTAAAATTGAAAAGAAAAAAAACGAGAACAAGACAAGAAGTCGCGCTCTCTCGTGAAACGATGGGGTTTGGTGAAGAGCATGAGAAATGAAAAAGAAAAATGAGAAGCAAAAGATAAAGTTGTTAAATAGCCATAAGCAATTACTTTTCTTTTAACCTTTTCACGTTTTGTGAGTGAGTGTTTTTTTGTGCCGACTTTTGAAATGTAATTAAGCGAATGTATTTCTGTTCTGCTGGCTCTTTCGCGTTGTTTTGAGTGCTGCTTAAGGTTTTTAAAGCAGCTCTCTTCATTGCAATACATTTGCACGCCGCGTTTCAAAATTAAATTGTCAAATCGATACATCTATTTATTTTGTCAGCGTAATGCACTCTGCGACGAACCTTTCGCCTTAGCTCCTCGCTCCCTTAGTTGTGTCATGCTCTTTTTATCTACATTCCACCCGAAGAACAAGTGTTAATTATGTACAAAAAAGACGACGAATATTTTTTGGCAGGCGTTCAAACATGCGTTGTAAATTTGTTGTTGTTGTTGATGATTCGGTCGGTTCGTTTTTTTGTTGTTGTTTCGGCAACCGTTCTCATTTTTCCACTCTTTCTATGTTGGGTGTTAGTGTTGTTACATCCGCCACCATCGCATATCGCCATCGTTGTGCCAGTCCAATCTTTTCCATTTGAAGACACTGTCATGCAATGGCATGTGCAGTGCATAAGTAATTTGATGTCCGTTGTTTTTTTTCTCTTCGTCTCTGCTGTTTCTTTGTGCTAGTTGAGTCAGGCGCGCGGCTATCACTATTGTGTGTCTCTCTCACACACTCTCTCTCTCTCTCTGGTGTTTGTGTGACGCGTTGATACCATGAATGCAAAACCATTTTATAATTGAAGGTAATAATTTGCCGTTGTTTGTGTGGCATGGCGAGGGAGCGCTCGCTCTACTTTGATTACATTTTCGCCGAAATTAATCGGTCACTTTTTTTCTTTCTTTTGCATTGATGTTAGCTATTTTTTGGCCTCTTCATTTGCACCGAATACTATCATCGTCAGCTAGACTAGCGCTATAGTGCTAAACTATAGTTGTTATTAGAGTGCCAAACTAGAGTTTATTATTTTGTTGGCTAACTTTGCCAATTCGCAGCAGTAAACCACTCTCTTGATCTGGCCAAATAGAGAACAACAACAACCGAAAAATGAGATCAAATATTTCCAATGGAAATATTTCGATTGTGAATTTAAATCGAAATGCTTATTTGTGTTACTCTCTCTCTCTCTCTCTCTCTCTCTCTGTGTGTGTGTGTGTGTATGTGGAAATCGGAACGGTGAACGCTTTACTTCAATTGCCATATATATATTTTGTTTACGTTCGCATGTCGACAACTGAAACGAACACTTTACTAACGTGTGTACACTCGTCAACATCGAGGGAGAGAGCAAGAGCAAGAGCATCGATTATAGCATCTCGAATCGGAGGTGCATACATTGTATTGACAAACCGGAGAGAGAGAGAGAGAGAGAGAGCCAAATGTGAGAGTTTTCCTCTATTTGGCACTCCCTTTTCGTCGACACATTTGATTATGCAATGCTTTGGCATTCTTGATCCAATTTTATCGTGTTAAAAATTATGTTTAACAGAACTTTTAGCGGACGAGATAGCATTAAAGTTGATTTTGGTGACGAGTCAGCTCGAGAAGTAGCACAAGAGACATAGAATGAGTGAAAAATGGCTCTGCAACAAGCCGATCAAACATCGATACATAAAAACAATTGCTACCACAAAGGAAATCATTAGCATCTTTTAAGTGCGGCAAAGCAACATCACATAATACTTCCACTTTCTTTTTGCTGAGTCAGAGGCAGCGAGCGAGCAAGCGAACGAGCGGAGCGAACCAAATAGAGAGCCATGCGACGAAAACGATGTTGGTATTTCGTATTTGATGGCAAAACCGTTGCCATCTAATGCTTTTCGAACACACAATGATTGATAGAAGATTGAACAAACAGTAAATGTTTGACGAAGCTTGATGCAAGAGGATAAATTGCCATCAGACAGATAACAGCACCACATACACACTCCCGAACACGAATAGGAACGACAGAGCAGAAACAAAAAATATCGTCAAGCAAGAAGTGCCTATCGAATTTCATGCCCTTAACGAACATCTATACACTTTCTTTTCGCTCCTATTTACAGAGAGAGTGTGTGTATCGGTCATTCTGGCTACAATACAAGCTCCATTTCTACAATTCGGTTTCATGCTGCAGCGCAAAGAAAACGTTTCGCTCGTTGAAGGACTTTTTTCTCTCTCCTCATTTCTTGTTGTCGCTGTTCGATGCTTGCTCAAGTTAATTTAGTTTCTTTTCGGATAAAGCGCTTTTGGCGTTAAACATTTAATTTTAATGATTTTGCTTGCTTTGCACCGCGCTTGCATATAGGCAAGCCGAATGAGGC